GCTCCGTTCGGCTTTGTGCTTGCAAAGTAGAAGCAATAGCCAAACGAAAAGGAAGAGCCTCACCAAAAATGTCGGGATCAGAAGTCAATGACGACGGTGAGAAGCATCGTGGCAGAGAGCCTACCCCAGGCGGGAGGTCAAAAGGCGCTTCGAGCACTCGTGATCCTCTCAAGTCTCTACTCAAGAGTGAGGTCACTCTCGTGAAGAGAGCCATGGCTAGCGGACCAGCCCCGGTGCAATCCGTCCCAAGTGCTGATGTTCCAAGACTGAAGAGCTTCGGAGGTTCAAGGAACGCGAGGGAGTTAGAGAACTTCCTTTGGAGTCTTGAGCAGTACTTCAAGGCGTCCGGCATCCAAGAGGATGAGGTAAAACTTCGTACCGCTCCACTATACTTGGTTGATGTTACAATGGTGTGGTGGAGGCGACGTGAAGCGGAAGTCGAAAGAGGTACTTGTGTGATGGTAACGTGGGAAGATTTCAAGAGAGAAATCAAGAAGCAGTTCTACCCAGAGAACGTGGAGTTTGAAGCCCGTTCGAAGTTGAGAAGACTCACCCAGAGGGGTGGAGTTCGAGAATATGTGAAAGAATTCTCGGAGCTGCTTCTAGAGATCCCGGACATCACGGACAAGGAGGCCATGCACGGCTTTCTTGATGGGCTGCAACCATGGGCCAAGATGGAGATGCAACGTCGAGGAGTGCAAGACCTTGCAACTGCCATGGCCACAACGGAGTCTTTTGTCGAGTACAAAAGGCAAGAGAGCAGCGGCAAAGAGAAGAGTTCAAAGCCCAACAAGGATGGAGAACAGCAGAAGCCTTTCAAGGAGGGTTCTCGCACTCAACAACACCAAGGTGGTTCAAGCAAAGGGGGTAAGTACGAACCAAAGCCCGTATCTTGTTTCCTTTGCGACGGGCCACATCGAGTGCGGGATTGCCCAAGGAAGGTGAGATTGGCGGCCATGGAAGCTCAAGATGAGTAGCCCAAGGCGGCGGAGGCCAAGATTGGCTCAATCTGCAAGCTTGGCGCGGTGAAGACCGACGTCAAGGAGAGCAAGCGTGGGAGGTGCTATGTTCTGGCGCAATTCATGCAAGGCGAGTCAAAAGCCTTGGTGGATACCGGTGCCACGGACAACTTCCTTCGCATCGAGGAGGCAAATCGGCTGGGTATTGCCTATGAGAAGGGGCAAGGGAGGCTCAAGACGATCAACTCGGAGTCCATCCCAATCCATGGAATTGCTCACAACGTGCCAGTGAGGCTTGGCGAGTGGGAAGGCCTCATCGACTTTTCCGTCGTCACCATGGACGATCACCCAGTCATCCTCGGCATCAACTTCCTCAACAAGGAGGGAGTGCTATTGAATCCCAACTCCAACACGATGTGCTTGGAGAAGGAAGGGGAGTTCCATGCGGTCCATCTCTTGAGAGAAGATGGCCCCCATAGTGCTCTATCCGCTATGCAGGTATTGAAGGGGTTCAAGAAGAATGACCCAACCTTTCTTGTGTCCTTGAAAATGGAGGAAGAAGGAGGCTCAACGGGAATCACAACTTCCATCATCGAAGGCGTCCTCGAAGATTTCGATGACGTGATGCCATCGGAGTTGCCCAAGAAGCTGCCACCAAGAAGAGAGGTGGACCACAAGATCGAGTTGGAGCTAGGAGCGAAGCCCCCTTCGCAAGCACCATACCGCATGTCGCCACCGGAGTTAGAAGAATTGCGGAGGCAGCTCAAGGACTTGGTGGAAGCCGGCTACATGCGCCCATCGAAGTCACCTTTTGGAGCACCGGTGCTGTTCCAAAAGAAGAAGGAAGGGTCGTTGCGGATGTGCATCGACTATAGAGCCATCAACAAGTTGACGGTGAAGAACAAGTGGACGATTCCCAACATTGCCGACTTGTTCGACCAGCTTGGAGATGCAATGTGGTTCACCAAGCTTGATCTTCGCTCGGGCTACTATCAAGTGCGGATAGCAGAGGGCGACGAGCCAAAGACGGCTTGTGTGACGAGGTATGGCTCTTACGAGTTTCTTGTGATGCCATTAGGTCTCACAAACGCACCAACCACGTTTTGCACTTTGATGAGTCAAGTGTTCGAGCCATTCTTGGACCGGTTTGTCGTGGTCTACTTGGATGACATCGTCGTGTATAGCAAAACACTCGATGAGCATGCCGAGCATCTACGCCAAGCCTTCCAAGTCCTTCGCGACAACGAGTTGTACGTCAAGAGGGAGAAGTGCACATTTGCCGCCATGGAGGTTCCCTTCTTGGGACACATCATTGGTGGAGGCAAGTTGAAGATGGATGGAGCAAAGGTGCAGGCAATCCAAGAATGGGAGCCGCCGACAAAGGTGCCAGAGTTGCGGTCATTCCTCGGCCTTGCCAACTACTATCGGAGGTTTATCAAGGGCTACTCCAATATTGCAGCACCCTTGACGGATCTCTTGAAGAAGAACAAGGCGTGGGATTGGTCGGAAAGGTGCCAAGAAGCATTCGAGGCCTTGAAGGCAGCGGTGATGAAGGAGCCCGTGCTCGTGCTCCCCAACCCGACGTTGGCCTACGAAGTGCAGACCGATGCATCCGACTTCGCAATTGGGGGCGTGTTGATGCAAGATGGGCATCCCATTGCCTTCGAAAGTCGGAAGCTCAGCGAGACGGAGAGGCGATACACCGTTCAAGAGAAGGAGATGACGGTCGTGGTGCATTGCTTGCGCACGTGGAGGCACTACTTGTTAGGGTCAAAGTTCGTAGTGAAGACGGACAACGTGGCAACGAGCTACTTTCTAACGCAGAAGAAGCTCACCCCTAAGCAAGCGAGGTGGCAAGAATTTTTGGCCGAGTTCGACTTCATTATGGAGTACAATCCAGGTAAGGCAAATTCTGTTGCCGATGCTCTTAGCCGCAAGAGTGCAGCCGCAAGCATCAGCCAGCCCATGTTTCCTTTGAAGGAGCGGATCGTCGAAGGCCTTGGCCATGACCCCTTCGCCAAAACTGTAGCGGAGTATATCGAGCAAGGTAAAACTCGGCGGTTTTAGATGAAGAATGGGCTCATCATGACCAAGGGAGAGCGAGTGTTCGTGCCAAGATGGTCCAACTTGAGGAAGGAGATCATGAAGGAGTGCCATGATTCCAAGTGGGCGGGCCATCCCGGCATAGAGAGAACACAAGCGCTCATCGAAGAAGCATACTTCTGGCCGCGTATGAGAGACGACGTGGAGATGTATGTGAAGACTTGTCTTGTGTGCCAACAAGACAAGATGGAGCAGAGAAGCCCGGCAGGCTTGTTAGAGCCCTTGCCCACGCCTCAACGACCATGGAGAGTGTAAGCATGGACTTCATCATCGGACTTCCCAAAGTCGATGGATGTGGTTGCATCATGGTTGTGGTGGACAGATTTTTGAAGTATGGAGTGTTCATTCCTGGGCCAAAAGACTTGACGGCAGAGGATGCAACACGTCTATTCTTCAAGAACGTGGTCAAGTATTGGGGCATTCCTAGCAACATTGTGAGCGACAGAGATGGGCGCTTCACGGGTAGATTTTGGCGAGAGTTGTTCAAGATCATGGGCTCAAACTTGAACTTCTCGACGACATTTCATCCTCAAAGCGGGTGAATGCCTTGTTGGAGGTGTACTTGCGGCAATACGTGAGTGCAAATCAACGAGATTGGGTGAAGTTGATGGACACGGCACAGTTCTCCTATAACTTGCACCACAGCGAGTCGACCAACACGAGTCCAAATGAGTTGGCGACGGGGCAGCAACCTTTGACACCTACGACGGTGGCAACGGGGTATAGAGGCAACAGTCCGGCAGCCTACAAATTCGCTAAAGGCTGGCACGAGAAGATGGAGATGGCCAAGTCTTACTTAGCCCGCGCTAGCAAGAAGATGAAGAAATGGGCAGACAAGAAGAGACGGCACTTGGAGTTTGAAGAGGGAGACATGGTGATGGTCAAGTTCTAACCTCATCGCTTCAAGCATCTCAAGAACGTGCACAAGGGACTGCTTCGCCGCTATGAAGGGCCATTCCCCATCGTGAAGAGGATTGGCAAGGTGGCGTACAAGGTGGAGGTGCCGTCGCATTTGGAGATCCATCCAGTCTTTCATGTGAGCCAACTCAAGGCTTTCCACGAAGACAAGGAGGACGAGCAGCAAAGAGAATCGCAGCGTGCACCAACACTCATCACCAAGACACACGACCATGAAGTTGAAGAAATCATGGCGCGTCGTGTCATTCCTCGTCGTGGCGTACATCCAAGTTTTGTGGAGTACTTAGTCAAGTGGCGCAGCCTTCCGGAGAGTGAATCAACTTGGGAGAAAGAGCTCACGCTTTGGAAGAACAAGGACTTGATCGAGGCATTCCATCAAGAGGACGCGACGAGGGCGTCGCGAGCATAGGTGGGGGAGGATGTCACATGTGGCAGATGACATGGCGCCAACAAGGTGACAACATGGCGGCTGCACATGTGGCATGCATGGAAGACTAGTAGCATAGAGATGCTCCTAGGATTCTCCACCTAAACGAGAGCTTAATGGTGCACTTATGAGTCACATAATGGGCGACATTTATAGAGTGCATAATGGGGGGACTTAATGGGGTGTATTGATGTAGTAGAGGGACATTATGAGGGGCATTGATGCCTTGTATGAGGAGAGGCCTATATAAGGAGCCATCTCCCTCACTTGTAACTCATTCCATCATTTTTTAGAGTAATACACACTAGAGAGTTCTCCCATTTCCTTTGTCTTTGTTCTTGTTATTTGCTTGCAAGTGAGTTGAGAGAAAGGCTGCCTAGCGCTCTAACGGAATTGAGAGCTAGGGCCGCACGATCGAGAGTAAGGTCGTGACAATAGCTTGGGAGGCTGGATTCAGAAAAGTTGAGCTTCAGTCCGATTTAGCTATGACAATACAGCTGATACAGTCGGCGAACAATCAGCACCCGCTCATTAATGATTTTTAATGACTTAACACTGATTAAACCACTCAAGCGGGAACCGTTTACTATACCGATACTGATTCATAGTCCAGTTCAATTATGACAACATTAGAAAGAAGATTTGAGCGATCAGGGAAAAATAATAGCCGAAGGACTATGGCAGTAAAAGTCTCAAAGTTAGAGGGCCTCAACGAAAGAAGAAAAAACCTTATCTATCTAATCCATCTCTCTCTCTCCTCCAACCTCCAAGCCTATTTCCATTTCGCCCCGAACCAACCTATGAGTGGCTGGCTGACTGGCTGCAACTGGTGTGATGAAGCTTGTATCCTCTGCTTCTGCTCTGCTGTCCGCAGCTACTCCCACCTCATTTCCTCACAAGGTAAACCTTTTATACCACAAACGGATTAGTCTTCGTTATTATACTGCTCTGTTCATCCGAATCGCGAAAGTATGGAACTCGAATGGCAGCAGCAATTGACCAATCGTTTCCGTAAGACCCTGTAAACTGAGCTTCTTCTTCCGGCTTTCAGCGTTAGATATGAAGTACAATCTAAATGGGTAGAATTTTCATGTGGATGCAAATGTGTGTGCGAGTCGGTCGTGTTTAAGTTTCTGAAAATTTCCCTGTTTGTGTTTGGTTTGCAGACTGACCAAATTTCTGAACTTGCTGCTGTAACAACATTCCATCACTCCTTCAGAAGTGGTTCAGTGCCAAATACGAGAAGATCCCGTAAATGCAATCCATGGTCCCTCTCAAGCTCGGCAGCGCCATTTCTGCTCTATGCAACAAAAAACCCAAGAGGGTTTGGTCCGGCAGTACCCTCTAAGAAAACCAGCAAGAGCAAGAAGAAACCAAAGACGCTAACCTACGAAGATGACGAGGATGAAGATGGTGGAGATGGACAGGAGGAATCCAGCAGGGATTCCGATGATGTCATACCGGAGATAGTCACCAACAGGATGATCAACCGGATGGGATTGTCTGTTGGGATACCTTTGTTCGTCGGGCTGTTGTTCTTCCCCTTTTTTTACTATCTCAAGGTCGGGCTGAAGATTGACGTGCCCACATGGGTTCCCTTCATCGTCTCCTTCTTCTTCTTTGGGTCTGCCTTGCTAGGGGTGACTTATGGGATTGTTTCTTCCAGTTGGGATCCCTTGAGGGAAGGCTCTCTTTTGGGTTGGACTGAAGCTCAGAAGAACTGGCCTGTCTTCTGGAGCTCTATCTGGGGCAATAGGTCTTCTGGCAACAAATAGAGCTGCTCATCGAGCGAGAGCTGATGGGGAAGTCCTCAGATTGGATCCATTGCAGTAATTAGTACATTCCATGTTGAGCTGAGCAACATCAATGTCCTCTTTTTCTGGAAAGAAATTATCTTAATCTAACAAGCACTACAAAACAGGCCAATCGAGTTCTTAAGAAGAAGATTCAGAAGAATGCCAAATCCAGGGACAAACCAAAATGTAATTCAAATAAACATGGAGAGCCATCTTGAAATAAGCTGAGTCGAGTTGCAGCACATCAGGCAGCTTTCTTGACAGCAGAACACAGCCTATGGATAGCACCACACCAATCCATCATCTGCAGGGCATCTCGAGTTCCTGTTATACGCCAGGAAAAAAACATATGTATTTTTATTGATCCTGATTTGGGCGGAAAGAAACTAGACTAGCTCGAAGGTGGCCTTAAAAACTGGGTCTGTATAAGCTAAACAGAAACAATGATATGATATGCTTTGTAAGCATCGCGAAAAATCGATTATGTTTCTAGCTACTTCTCCAAAGTTTTGATTGCTTAGCAAATACCAAAGGAATTAGGAAACAAAAGGGTGATCTAGATGGTATGTGTGGAGGTAGTAGGGAAGTAGCAGTTATCTGCAATCATGCCTGTGTTGCATAACATCGTCTCTCTTTCATTGATATCCCACACAACAGATATTCGTCCTAAAGTATATCAATCAAATGTTACAGATAAAATCATTGCAATTTCCAAATACAGGGAGATGGCCTGTTTCTCTTTTCATGCAATCAATAATACATTATGTGTGCCATGGAGCTCATAGTCCTCCGTTTCGGTTACTGCCGCTCCCTAGTTTCACTTTGGAGACACTTTGAACTGCAGAAGAGATGCAGTGCTGCCTCCAGGAGAAGAAGACATCACAATTCAGAAGCCTAACCATAATATCAAAGGAAGGAAGTAGACCAGCTTCAGGAAACATGAAAGACTATGATTGAGGAATATTAAAAGTGGTATTGCATATACCTTCAACATAGTAAATGCTGCTGCTACTGCTGCTATCTAGTAAATCTCATCCTCAGGCACATCTGGGTACAGGAACTTCATTGGATCTTTTCGCATGTCCTCATAATTCAGGGTAGGAGTAACCCTATCTGGCACGGGAAATAGAGGAATGATGCTATCCCTGTCAATCACACCATCAATTATTCCATACTCAACTGCCTCAATTGGAGACATGTATCGGTCCCTGTCAATGTCTTTCGCCACCTGCTCAATCGCCCGACCACTCCAGCTTGAAATGAGGCTCACAATGTTGTTCTTGTTGTGCATGATTTCTTTTGCTTGAATCTCCACATCTATTGCTTGTCCACTAGCACCTCCAAGTGGTTGATGAATCATTATCCGTGTATTGGGCATTGCCAAGCGCTTGCCTTTTGTGCCACCACCAAGGATAATGGAAGCCGTTGATGCTGCCATGCCGAGGGCAACAGTGGAAATGTCAGCCCTAACAAGTTGCACGACATCATAGATGGCCATTGTTGCACTGCACAAATTGATTCATGAGTCAATCAGAGAGGACCAGGGATAATGGCATGCTAACAACAGTTTTGCTAAGCACAATGCAGAAACCAAACTGTTTGATTATGTTTGAAGCTGATAATTCAAATATGTAAGCCACTGTTTCATCACAGACATGTTATACCGGGAAAGAGAGTTGACAAATCAGTACACATTAATTCCATTGGACAAAATTGGTAATAACTCAATTCTCGTCTTTTCACAATGTGAATGATGAGAGATACTGTAATAGAAAACAAGGGTGCATGTTCATGTACCAATTCTCCAGTACGGGATCTGGCAACATTTTTTTTTTAGGAATACAGTTATGATGGAGAAGGCAAATATATATTAATAGTAATACAGCCATGCTATTGTTAGGAAGGGGCCTGCGATGGATACACCTTGTCCACCTCACAAACAACTTCTGCTACCATTGCTTAATTCAAGATTGAGTCCAACATCCAGAAAAAAAACAAAAAAAAAGTCTACTCATTGAGGCCCTTCAGGAAGGTTAAAGCCACCCAAACTAAAGGGAACAGTCCTACAGTAACACCCACGAGACATTCAGAAACAGAAAGAAATCGTATATTCAAACCAAATCATTTTTTTCAAGAACATTCTACACAAGAATTTGACACAGTGAAGCAGCACATTCCTTGGCACACCTTAAGTATACCATAACATAAAACAACGGTAAACTACAGTCACTGCACCTACTGTGAGCACAATTTCCCAACGAGAGCCATGAAGATAGGCCTAAGACAAAGACTGCACATAACAAACAAATCGACAAGGCTAAATCTCTATTCTGTAAGCAGAACAGATCTTTACCATCAGGTTCACTAACTCACTAACTTAAAAAGGATGTATGCAGTATGGAAGATGACAAATGGAAAGCGCTCTGGTTAATTATGAAAGTCACCAAACCAAAGACGGGAAACAGAGAAATACTAAATGTAGAATGTTTATTTGCACAAAGCTTGCTCTAGTTTTTAGCAAATTTATCAATCTTCAAGAAGAAGGGGCGGATAAGTTTGAGGAGAAGTAACACAGACTTAATCAGCAGAGACCATAACCTACTAATAACACTGTTCTTGAAACTCACAATCATTTGCCCGCATGGAGTGATTGTGCCAATACATCCAGCACAGTGCTCAAGACTCCATCCTCAAACATGATATACCTCCCGAAACAGAACTGTCGGCCAAATAGTTGGTCTCACCTCACTACTCAATGACAAGCAGACACTCATCTGGATATTCCCAACTAACCTAATCAATCAGCATAAGAATATCTTTGCACATCCCCCGCCCCAAGATTTCAGGCTGAATCAACAGAAGGACGAACTTCCAAGCAAGAGACACACTCCTTAGGTTCAACCAAGTTTATCATTTAGATTAGAGTTTCATCCAATGCCTGGATTCAAAGTTGAGACAAGTTTCCATTTCACGCAGCAAAATAATTTTGAAGTTGTGAAATTTAAGTTCGTAACTAACTGTCAAGATACATAACAACATTCGTTTGCAAACTCAATCAAAGAGACTGGTAGACATCACAACAAAGCACATCATTTTTTTATATACCAAAATCTCATCTTTCCCAGTAAACCACACTAAACACTGACCATAGAGGAAATCGTATCCACAACCATTATACCGCCAATCTTCAGGTCATTAAGCAGAACAGAAAATAAACGCAGTCCATATAGCTTTAGCAAGCGGCGGATGTGAAATTAGTTACTGTTCAACTGAGAATTAGGGAGAATTGAGTGGCTTTAGCTACCTGAGAGAGCCGCCAGGGGAATTGATGAAGAGGCGAATGTCTTTAGTGGGGTCCTGAGCATCAAGGAGCAGCAATTGACTGATGATGGCATCGGCGACAAAGTCGTTGATTTCGTTGCCGAGGAACACAATCCTCTCCCTGAGCAGCAGGCCCATGGCGTCAGTCTCAGCTCCCCTCATGGCGGTGGCGGGAGATTGTGGGCTGTTGGCGGTGAGGGAAGAGGTGACAAAGGAGGCATTGCGGTTGGAGGATGGGTTAATTGAGGTTTTGGGATAAGAGGAGCAATGAATAGCGGTGGCGGCGGTGGGTTTAGAAGGGAACGAGGAGAAGGATGATGATGAGAAGGATGTCACTCCTTTGCGATTGAAGTAGGAGGCTGATGCTTGGTGCGGGATCGAAGGAGACGAGAGGGACAGCAACTCCATTGTTAGACTTCGAGCGAGCAAGAGTCTCCGAGGAAAAACTAGTAAGGGATGGATATCTGAGACTTGGGGATGGAGTAGGAGCACAAGTGCATAACCTCCTACCTCCCCTCTTTATTATGGATTCTACTAGGCCTCCTCTGGGCTGGGCTCGGTGGGTTTTCTGTTTTGGATCAGAAGAAGACTTTTGGTCTTAGTGGGCTTTTAGATGCATCTGTTTTCGGTTTAGGCTTCTGCGAAAAGATCACTTTTTTCCTTTTCGCTTGGAAAACAGAAAACTCCGCCAATTCCCTTCCCCCGCCATTAATCGCGCGCCACTTTCCCCGGCGGAGCCGCGACCACCGTCCTTACTCATCGTCGATGGTAAAAGAATAAGCAAGGTGGACTCCGTAGCAGTTTCCTGCTGTTTGCAAAACCTTTCGCTGTCGCCTCAATCTCCATAAGTGGCCGTAGTGGTGCTTTGTCCCGGTTCGCTCGCTTTTCAGAGTTGGTCTCCGGTAAAACACTTATCATCCATCCCTACGGTTCCGCAAGTTATGTTGATTAACGGTGTGCTTTTGGTTGTCTGACAACCGAGCATTGTTTTTTTAGTGGCTATTGATAAATATATGTAGGCAATGCTTCCAAGTTCCAAATATGACCGTGAGTTCTTATCTTACTGATTTCCTTTAGTTGCTTTGTCAACTTGCATCTTAGGTTGAGGACAATGGTGGGTTTTAAGAATAGATACATGGTGATGGAAGTTTTCTTGGATCCAAATCGAGACATCAAAGGCGATGATTCTGTTATCATTACACCGTTCAATTTGATGAAAGCAATTAAAGATAGCATTCTTCCAAATTTTGGAGAATGTTTCTTGGCTTCGTCACTTGGTTCAATGCAAGGTATGTTGCAGGTTAATAATCTGCTTCACGTTCGTGCATATTTGTGAAATTATATTTCTGTAACTTCTTGGATCTGTTTTCATTGCAGTCAAGTATGTGAACCCCATCACAAAGATATGCATAATCAGAGTTTCTAAAGAGAACCATCAGAAAGTTTGGTCAGCTATTACCATGGTCCGGAAGATAGGGAATTGCCCGGCATTTTTCAACCTACTGGACCTTAGTGGTAAGCAGACTTACTGAAAGTAATTTGTCTTGCAACGCTGATGAGTTCTGTTCTTTGGTTGAAGTTCTCATACATTGTCCTCTGCAAACCATGGAGTACTTTGTTATTTGCTTTCAATAATTTTCATGGAATTTGTTGCAAGTGTTGTTCATATCAGGATCTGATCAAAACAAAAGGACTCTTTCAGAGGGTTCGAAGTTCGAACATGACTCTGGTGTTTCAAGAAAAATACCTATGTACAAGCTATTTTTATTCATGATCAACAATTGTACATTGCAGAAAGTGTGTAAATTTTGCAGCACCATTTAAAATTTCTCATTAAAATCTTTCTTATGTATTCAGTTAGGTGTGCTATTTGTTGCTTGCGTCTCTCTGTACTAGGAGAATTAAAATGTCATTCAATCACGATGAATGAGTATCCTGTAGGATTCTTCACTTCATATCTGTACTGCGGTTGGTCCAGATCTCTTATTTTCCCCTTCTTTCCTTTTGCAATACAGGAAGTATAAGGGCTTGTAGAGTAGCTGCTTTAAAGTGTGACGAGAAGAAGTTTGAGCACTACAAGCTCATGGCTGGGGACCGATTGTCCACTGATGATAGTCAGCGCATGCAAAACTATCTGGAGAAGATCAAACTTTTGGAGAACTGATACTGTTGCTGCCTGTTTAGGTATGGTTTGGTAGCGTAGAGTAGGGAGATCATTTTGGGGCAATAGAGTAAAATGATTTGGTGGAGAAGGTTCTTTGTCTGTGTTTGTGGATATAGTGATATGTTTTTGTGTCTGTTTGCACGTTTCTCAGAAAAGGTTTGTATCTGTGAGAATGATCAAATTTGACCTCGTGTATTCTATACCAGGTATGAGGTAGGGAAGTTTAGTTTCTGGCACTTCGTAGCTGCTGAGTATGTTTTGGGATAATCTCTCTTTACCCTTCATTGTGTGAAGCCAATGAGTTTTCTGGAATACATATTGCAAATCTGTTTAGTGTGAACATGGAAAGGAAACACATTAACCGTTTGGAGGAGTATACAGAACAGGTACGCAGACATGTTTATAAGAAACTATTGGGAGCAGAGAGGAAATATAAATTATCATGCCAAATAGAGAGCACTTCAGAAACCGGCTTGTTGGCGTTTGGCATAGGAACTTGGTGGGCATGAATGGTGAACCTCTTCTGATGCAGACCATGGAGACATTCTTCAAAGCTGTTTTCTAGAGTGGCAACATCATATGTTGTGCAGGAGATAAAAGCTTCTGCTGTACTTGTATGGTGCCAATTCAGGGCCCTCAATTGGACAACATTTGAACTGTTATGATTGCATTCCTCTGTAGTTTAGTGGTATAATCTGGTATGGGGTAAGTCAACGATTCCCACTCCCGCACAGTTTTCTACTCTAGCTGACTGTTCTTGACAGATTGACAAATAAGAAAGCCGTCAGAACCGATAGATTGTGTGCTGTGTCTGGGAATGCGTTGAGTAGGACACATATGTTTGTAAGCTGCTCTTATACTCAGTAAGTTATCAGACTATGTGTCGGGGCATAGATTGATATTTTAGCTTTAAGTTATTGAGATTGCATTCTGCAATAAGCAGTGTAGAAATGGAGTGGTAACAAGTGTTGGTGCTCGAGTTGGGAAGCCAGCTTCGTCTCCTCTAGTAAGCTATACACGAGGAGGCGATGCAAACAGATGTATGGAGTAGCTGCTGCTTCTTCTCCACTGCCACTGTGTTCAAGAATCAAAGGGGAAGTTCAAAGTCTGGCCATGAGTGACCTGGATCCGGAAACTGCCATTATTTTCGGTTCAAAGTCTGGCCACTGTGTTCAAGAATCACCAGCTTGGGATGGTGATATCGCATCAATACAGAATATAGTTTGTTGGTTCCGCATTTTTGTTTCTTTGTTGTGTGTTACTGGCAAGATACCTTGCCATTATTTTTTCATGAAATGTCATGCCTTATCCTACAAAAGAATTGCGTGAAAAATATTAATAAAAAAAGGCACAACAAAACTCGAGACAATTTTTACATTACGTGGGAGAAATATATGATTTTTTCAAATCCTCTCCCTAAAATTTAGCATGGTAGATAAATCCTTTCCCAAAGCCCTAATTTAGTCGTGAATCATTTCCCAAATCCTGATGCGAGGAGTAGAGAACAATGTCCAATGAGGAAGAAGAAGAAGAAGAAGAAGAAGAAGAAGAAGAAGAAGAAGAAGAAGAAGAAGAAGAAACACAGAAGGATGAGGTGTGCCGGAGCCGGCTGCTGGTGCTACTGCTACTGCATTGAGCTACATTCCTTTTTCCTTATTCTTGTGGTAAACTAACTGCATTCTGATTTATTGCAGGATCATGTCAAGTTTCATATTTCCTAATTGGGAGGTAATGTGGAAGAGCCGTTAGGTTTGAATGGTAAGTTTGAGGGGGCCGTTGGATAACAATCCTTCGTGCCTCCTTGGTGGAGTCCATTGACTGTTGTTTGGTTCGGGAGCAAACACTAATGAATGAACAACCCCGTCCAGTCCAACAATGTATGTTTGATTTCCACTTCAGTATGTGTTCAGAGGTAACTAATAGTCAATTAACTGGCCACCAAATCGTCCACTCTTGGTAAGGCCTAAATTCCCTTATAAAAACATCCAGCACTCTGCTTTTCTTCTGGCTCCTCTATGTGTTTCAGTGTTTGTTCAGAGAATAACAGTACCGAAGCTGTCTCATTGCTTCGCCTGCAATGACTTACTGATCTTTCTTCATTTAGAGAATAGTACGTGGTCCCTTCCTTGGTTCCCACTGTCTTGTTTCAGATGAATTCACTGTCCATGGCATGCTAGCTGTAGTTTCAACATCTATGTGCAGAACAAGTAATTGCTGTTTCTCTAAATGTAAGTGCTATCCGCCGCCGCTGCTGCATTTTTTGCTGTTCGGATTATCTGTGTGCTGTTGCTGGAATTGGGGCTTGTTGGGTGCTGGTTGGTCCAAAGCCAATTTGTTTACACTGGCCTTGGTTGTACTTGGGACCGAGCGTTTCTGTTAGTTGTATACGTTGGGACACGGTTGGGGTGCTTCCTTCTGTTTCATCCCTTGTGAAGCATAGCCTCCTGCTTGCTTTATTTGTTTCTTTACTTCTAATATTCTCATATCATTGATATAAGAATAAAATAACATGGAAAGTGTTGTTCACATATCCAAACATGTCCCAAAAGTTGAAATGTTTATGAACTGTGAGTGAATATTTAAGCACAGTTGTGTCTCTTCAAAAGGGAATATCAACAAAAGACACACACAAAAAAAAAAAAAAAAGAGGTTGAAAATAATAAAGAAGATGAAAAGATCGAACAACTTGTTCATATACAAGTAAGAGAAGACGTGCTTGAGTTAGTAAGGTTGGTCTTTTACTGCAAAGAAAGAAGGATCAAGATACTTTGGTATTACAATATTTGAATTGAGCTGCTTACCCTGAAATGGTGCTGCTTTTGCAACGGCCAGTCTTCTATGCATCTGTAACTTGATTGTCACTTTATTTAATTTGAATTTCTCAACTGGATGAATGTCTGCAGGATTGTGGAATTAACGTGCAAGTAGCTGTTGCTGGTGGTTTGGAGGCTTCTGTCATGGCTGAGGATATTGTGAAACCATTGTTGGATCCTGAGAACTTCAATCGAGCATTGATTGACTTAGTGAGTTGTGCATCACTGGAATGTGGAATTTCCTGCCTATTTTACTGTGCTGACAAGGAATTTTGTTGACTTGACACAATAGGAAACCTTACCGTTAGAAGATGTTTTTGAACAACTACGAACTTCACTTGATGGACTTACATCTGAAGATGCTAAAGCTCGTTTGACAGTGTTTGGGCCAAACAAACTGGAAGAAAAGCCGGTAAGCACCTTTCTCTGTAAGCTTAAAAAAGTCATATTCCACCATCAAAAAAATTATGACGGAATCTTATTTGGCCACTCGTGCAATGTGTCTGGTTCTCAGTAACAGGTCGGCATATTGAAGCGATAGTTCTTTTCTATCCATTCTGTCTGTATCTACTTGCATTTGCTATTTGTACTTATCCTTGATGATATAGTGTGTGTCAATAGTACAGTGCTCTGTTAAGTCAGTAGATCCCTGCTCCATGCAGTGCTTGCCCCTAGTTTCAGGTGTTTTACCTCTGAACTTGAACCTTATATGCACTTGGATTGCATAATGCCGGAGCTTGCCCAACTCTCAAATGACTTTATCATAGCTAATTTCCTTATAGCAAGGTGGTGCACAAAATATCATCTTGATCCCCATAATCGTTTGATATATTGGTCTTTTCCGCTTCAGGTGGTATATTACTAATTAGTAGTATCTGAAACTCTGTTTTCGGATTTCAGTTTCTCATTAATGCATTCAAGTTTTGTCAGTGCCTACCTGAGGCATGCCCTTGCCATCAGCTTCCTTACAGTGAGAAGCGGGCTTGCAGTATATTCCCATTAAAATTTAGCACACTAAATAATAAAGCTGGTCACTTACATTCCGTCTTTGCAATTCAGGAGAACAAGTTATTGAAGTTCCTTGGGTTTATGTGGAATCCTTTGTCATGGGTTATGGAAGCTGCATCAATAGTGGCAATAGCCCTTGCTAATGGCGGAGTAAATAACCAGCCATCTGTTTGCATTTCCCCGCTTTCTATTAGTTGATAACATTGAGGTATTGTTAGCTGATGAAAGTTATGTGTTCAGGGTGAAGGCCCTGACTGGCAGGACTTTCTGGGTATTGTTTGCCTGCTGTTGATCAACTCAACTATAAGTTTCATTGAGGAAAACAATGCTGGAAATGCTGCAGCTGCATTGATGGCTGGTCTGGCACTAAAAGCAAAGGTAGTACAATCTACAACTCTTACCACATAGCTAAAACAATATGACTAAATTGGAAAGGAAAGCAATTACGACAGAATCAGCAATGGCTCAGAATTTCCTCAAGTTTTTCTGTTTGGTAATTTGAACTTTGTGATCCTGATACTAAAAAATACATGCATACAGAATTTGGTTTCTGAGTTATAGAGATTTTCAATTGGTATGTGAAGGGATTCAGGAGTTCTACTTACCAAGATGGCGGCATTACATTTTTACCATACGCTACTGCTGCGTGCTTAAAAAATTAAGTACTAGTGGCATAATAAAGTCATAATGAACTCGAGCAAACTTAGAATGAATCATTCTTTTCTTTTCTTTATGGATAGAAAATTAAGAACTAGTTGACATAGAAAGCACATAACAACCATAGTTCCATGAGTAGGCAGGTTGTGCAGGTATGCGCTCACTATTGATTACTACTTTACTAATAGAAGCCATAGAAGATCAATAAACAGAAAATTCATGCTCAGGAGGTCTCCTAGATAGGAATGTCAGTGTTATGAGAACATACACACTTTATAAAGTTTCTTGCAAGTGTACGTCTTACTGGGGGTTTCTTGCCCAGGAATGCAGCTTATTCTTTCTAATTGCAGGTTCTCAGAGACAGAGAATGGCAGGACATGGATGCAGCTATTCTGGTGCCAGGAGATATAATAAGTGTTAAGCTTGGGGACATAATCCCTGCAGATGCTCGGTTGCTTGAAGGAGATCCACTAAAAGTTGACCAGGCACGTGTTGGCAATCTTGGATCTCATCACAATCACAACTTCTTTTTCTTGGTGAAATGCGTTCCTTTTTTCCCTTTGTACGAATCAATCATCTTTTTTTTTGTTGTTGTTGTACGAATCAATCATCTAGAGCAACTGTTCAGCAATAATGTCAAGTGCCGGTTTCTCTGTGCAGTCTGCCCTTACAGGAGAATCTCTTCCTGTCACTAAGAAAACAGGTGACGAGGTTTTTTCTGGTTCTATATGCAAGCACGGAGAAGTTGAAGCTGTGGTGATAGCTACTGGGGTTCACTCCTTTTTAGGAAAAGCAGCTCATCTAGTGGACTCCACTTACGTTGTTGGGCATTTCCAAAAGGTAATTGTCTCGATTAAGCACCGCGCCAAATTGAAACCCAAGCCGTAAATTATGATCTATGCTACTGGTATGTGTGATATTCTGAATCCACTTGATAATAAAGCTTGGTTGTATAAAATTTGAATTCAATTCTGAATTTCTTCAGATACTCCTTTTTACCCTCCTGTTAATTTTAATTGAACGGTTGAGTATTGTGAAGATTTGCTACAACTGCAAACTGACCATTCAAATGTTTGAATGAGGCCACACTTGATACTTCATTCTTAATTTCTTGTATCAGGTCCTTACCTCCATTGGGAATTTCTGCATTTGCTGTATAGCTGTGGGAATAGTTCTTGAAATCATTGTCATGTTCCCCATACAGCATCGATTATATAGGAAAGGAATCAACAATCTTCTCGTGCTCTTGATTGGAGGAATACCCATAGCCATGCCGACAGTATTATCTGTCACACTTGCAATCGGTTCTCATGGTCTTTCCAAACAGGTGCAAACGTAAAGGCTGCCGTAAAGGAATGTAGCAGAGTTTATTAGTCAATTTGGGAAGAGAAAGATACTTTCTGTGGTCTCTGAGATAATGACATGGAAGTCAAATGCTTATTATGGCATGCTTCTCCAAATTCTTTTTCTTTTTTCTGTTTGTTCAGGTTCACGGATATCTTATTTTTGTTTTTATTGTACTAGGGTGCTATTACAAAGCGGATGACAGCGATTGAGGAGATGGCAGCCATGGATGTCCTGTGTAGCGATAAAACTGGAACTCTGACATTGAACCACCTTACAGTTGAGAGCAACCTTGTTGAGGTATGCAAATCACCATTTCCAATGTTCTGCTGACACTGCATCTACTGCAGCTAAACAGGAGTTCAAGACTTTGTAAATTCATATAAGCAGCATGATGGAAACTTAATCTTTACAGGTATTCAACAAAAATATGGACAAGCAGATGATTATTTTGTTGGCAGCGCGAGCATCAAGAGTAGAGAATCAGGATGCCATCGACGCTGCCATAGTTAACAGGCTAGGAGATCCCAAGGAGGTAAAAAAAATGTGCTATACTATTTGGTTGGCTGGCCAGAACACTAAAGTACTCCAAAATGATGTTTGTTCTACTCGTTTCATCATTGTAGCTTTATTCACTTTTTTGTCCAGGCACGTGCCAACATCAGGGAAATTCACTTCATGCCCTTCAATCCAGTGGATAAACGTACTGCCATCACGTATATTGACTCCGATGGAAAATGGTATCGAGCAAGCAAAGGGGCTCCTGAGCAGGTGCTTTTTTAAGCTTTGACATTTTCCTCTCTATCTCTGTCGTGCATGTTGATATAATAATTATGACCTTTGGCATCAAAATCATTCAAGCATTCTAATATTGAGCAAAAGCTGCGTACTTAGTCTTCCATTTTTGTACAACATCAGATTTTAAATCTATGCCAAGGAAAGAATGAGATTGCCAGAAGAGTGCATTCCATCATTGACAATTTTGCTGAGAGGGGCTTCCGGTCTCTTGGAGTTGCTTATCAGGTACCTCAAATTTTGATTATCATATCTTTCTATGCCCACCACATGTTTGATGGAATCATAACGTAAAAAACTGTTACCTTCCCAGCACTCATCTTGAAATATTCTGCTGAAGGAAAAATAAAATTCACTTGTGTTGTCCTTCACCTGTAACTCATCAAGCTTGAGTTACATGGAATATCTTTTTTTTTCTTCTTATTGTTACGATAGAATTTCTCAGTATAACAACACACCTTCAGGAAGTTCCAGGAAGAACGAAAGAGAGCACTGGCGGTCCTTGGATTTTTTGTGGTTTGTTACCTTTGTTTGATCCTCCAAGACATGACAGTGCTGACACTGTACGAAGAGCACTTAACCTTGGAGTTTGTGTGAAGATGATTACAGGTAACTCTGGTTAAACTTATAGTGGTAGCTGTATGTGTCTTGGAATTGTGCTAGACATCTATAATTGCTCTTCTTTCCTGTTCTATTAATTGTGCTTAAGAAAATTCCACCTGCGTTCGTCAAAATGTAACGGAAGAAGTCAATGGTTCTTGTTCTTTGGCATCATTCTTTCCGTACAAGCACAAGCTTACATACACTGCCATGGCACAGTTGTCATGTCAGCTGAAACAGTGAGACCCATCATTTGATTTTTTCCCCCCAAACATATATATCGTCTCTTGCCTCTTACCACAACCTTGTGATTGACTCCGATGGAGTCTTAATAAAATATACTAATAATTGAATAGCTCATAGGTGATCAGTTAGCAATTGCCAAGGAGACAGGAAGACGACTCGGAATGGGAACTAACATGTTCCCAGCTTCATCATTGTTGAGCCATGACAAGGATGGAACTGAGATTCTTCTCGTGGATGAGCTAATTGAGAAGGCAGATGGCTTTGCTGGTGTGTTCCCTGGTAAGTAAATAGGATATGGTACCAGTGAACTGTAACTATTTTTAACATTTGAATATACAGGTTATGTGGATGGTAGGTTGTTGAAATCGATAGATACAACATACAAGAATCTATACTCTGGATGAATGCTTTTAAGAGATGAACAGCTGTAGCAGGCCTATGTATTAATTCTGGATGTAACCAAATTCACTTTGAAATAGTTATTTGCTTGTTTAGTTGTTAGAGGGTTTAGTGTCTTAGGGCGGCTTTGGTTCTTGGGAATGACAAAACCGAGGAGAAAAGGGTACCCTTTGATTTTTCAATATATCAATGATATGATAGACGATTCTTGTGGTGGTTCTACACACACTACCCTCTTCCCATGGATTGTACAATCTATCAACTAGTGCTCGTAGAATCACCCACAGGAGATGGATTTCGGATAACAGTCCACCTGACAAGGGACCTTTTGTTTTCCCTCCCCTATTTGCTGGTTTTAAGTTTGAGGTTAGAGTAATGTGGAGATGATAGAGATGTTTTTATGTTCAACAGCACGGGAAGCTTGATTTTGAATTTTTCTTTGCATTTTATGTTTGTCTGAGTAGAATTCTTCTGTGTGTCATCTGAGTAGAATTCAATTTGTTTTCAGATCTTAAAAGAACAGACTGATTACTTGCTTTGTTGTATATACTTGAAATCCACACCAAGCAGCTGTAGTTTCTATCCTCTTGATTCTGATTGGGATTAGTTCTGGGACTAGCGACATTCTGCTGTGTTATAGACAGTAAAATGTCTAAAATTCACTTTGGCAGTAACACCAAGTAGTTGCTTTGCCAAAAATCTTGGGCCATAGTATCGTTGTAGGGTGTACTATTGGTTGGGCCGTGGTATCGTTGTAGGGTGTGCAATCTGGACCCAGCCAGGCGTGTGGTGCTTGGTGAAAGCCAAAGGTTTGTGAATAGATGAATGCTTTTGTGCTTCTCTTAGATTGGCTTCTTTGACATGATTCCTTTTGCTGCAATATGACTTTCAGAACACAAGTTTGAGATTGTAAAGATTCTGCAAGAGAAGAAGCATGTGGTTGGCATGACTGGGGATGGGGTGAATGATGCACCTGCTTTAAAGAAGGCAGACATTGGAATAGCAGTTGCAGGTTCTACAGATGCAGCCAGAAGTGCTGCTGATATAGTCCTAACTGAGGCTGGGTTAAGTGTGATCATTAGTGCTGTCTTAACTAGCAGGGCTGTATTCCAAAGGATGAAAAATTATACGGTAACTTTCCTTCTTATTTTCTATACACGTGTATAACACAGTTACATTCGCATTTAGGTGACACTGATGAAGCTGTTAGTGGTAGTTCCAGATTCATGATGCTCCTGGTTTATTCCCATGCTAAGTAACTTTTTTAATGACATTAAAGGTGCATACAGTTTGGTTGAAAATGAAAGGATATGTGTTGTGGCTGAGTATCTGTGTAGTTTACTTTCTATAATGATTAATTGAACAATGAATTTGCAGATATATGCTGTCTCCATCACTATCAGAATTGTGGTATGCTGGATCTTGTACCTCTATTCTCATTGGATTCACTTGTATGGTCTGGAATCTGGACCAAAAGGTTGTTAAACAATTTGTTGGCGTTTATTTCAGGTTGGCTTTTCACTTTTAGCATTGATATGGGAGTACGACTTCCCGCCTTTCATGGTTTTGATAATAGCAATACTTAATGATGGTAACTGAAGAATTATTCCTCCTTTTAGTTTATTTTACATTTGTTTTTTTTTTTTCCTTTCTGCATTTTATAAATTGCTTGGGCTGTGGAACAGAGGAAGGAGCTAGAGCTTAAATTTTTTTCCTAGCTTTAGCGGTACCAAGCTGTAGAATGACAAGTGCAATATATTAAGGATTTTATGTCAAATTATTTGTTGTAGCATGAAGGTCCATAAAGGTTTGAAGTTATTTTTGGTGCAGAATGGCAATGAAGTCTCTAATCAGTCAAATATTATTTCTTTTATTTCAGGAACTATAATGACCATATCCAAAGATCGGGTTAAGCCATCTCCAGGGCCTGATAGTTGGAAGCTCAATGAAATATTTGCAACAGGCATTGTCATTGGGACATACCTTGCTCTGGCGACTGTACTGTTCTACTGGATTGTGGTACACACTACTTTTTTCGAGGTATCATTCCGAGACATAGAATTGTACTGTACAAACCTGTAACCCGTTAGAGTTACTTAAGAAATTACACCTTGTTGCTGTCTAGGCAGCTGATTATACTCTCGACTTGTGATTGCAGACACACTTCCATGTAAGTTCTATATCCAGTAATACGGAAAAAGTTTCTTCAGCACTGTATTTGCAAGTCAGCATCATTAGCCAGGCTCTCATATTTGTTACCCGGAGTCGATATTGGTCATTCCTTGAGAGGCCTGGAATTCTCCTGGTGTCCGCATTTCTTGTGGCTCAACTGGTATGGTACTTTAACTGCACATATGGCTTTGTCAGTGTTAGCCTTCCTTGAGAGTTGCAATTTTTTTCCGAGACATATCTTACATTAGATCTGCAATACATTCGCCTTTGGCTCCAAACTTTAGTCCTTTCAGTTATGATCATCGCCAATTCCTTGCTCGAGTTCACCAAAAGTCCACCCAGAATGTAAATGCTGCTGGATCTTGTTTGTTTCTTTTCAGGTGGCCACATTAATTGCTGTCTACGTGCATCTCAGCTTTGCCAACATTAGTGGTATCGGATGGAAATGGGCTGGAGTGGTTTGGCTTTATTGCTTGATCTTCTATGTTCCCCTGGATATCATAAAGCTCACTGTGTGTTATATCATGAGTGGAGATGCATGGAATCTTGTATTCGATAAAAAGGTGAGTGCAATAGTTTTTAGTGATTGATTTTACTGGAAGATTTTGTCAATCCTTTGTTAACAGCTTCGTGGCTTCAAACCACGAACAGACTGCTTTAACTTCAAAGAAAGAGTACTACAGGAAGGATGAGAGAGCAGGAAAGTGGCATCTTTCCCACACGACTCTAGAGGGGTTGAGCTCTGCAGATCCAGAACTAGTTGTTAGGCGATCTTCTTCGATGGCTGAGCAGGCATGGAGGCGTGCCGAAATGGCCAGGTACCTCATGAATTACGATTATCATTTCTTGCATACTATAGATGACTATGAGTACCTTTTTTTATGATAATGTGCCTGAGACCGCAACAATATCAATTCGGACAACCAAATGCAAAAATAATATACACTACCACAACTAAGGTGCAACCCCGTTTTTTACTGTCAGACTGGGGGAGCTTCATAACTGGAAAGGGCACTTAGAGTCAGTAGCGACGCTTAAAAAGTTGGACCTGAAGGGCATGCAAGGATCTCACAGTATTTGAAGTTGCATGCGTTGCCAGTCATGAGACTTTGTTGGAAAGGTGCGAGTTGGTAGATTTTTTGTCGTTTATTTTTTACTCAGAGAACCCAGATTTCAATAAAAGCGATGCCAAGTTTGCAGAATCTCGAGTCTGGGGCCTGCTTTTTTGTGTAACGCATGCAATGGGAGTAATAATACAATGAAGGGTAACTGAAATATTATTACAGCCAAGTGATCCAAGTAGTATAGTACGTATAGCATAATGTATAGAATCCTGATTCTCTCTTTATTCCATAGCAATGTATGAAGATGTAGTCTCTTATTAAAAAGGGGATCATAAGAAGTAAGAAGAGAGGAACACTCTTCGGACTTCCTTGAACCGACTGAAGCAGCGTAACACGACGAATTGAGATGCATTGCTGCAGCTCGATTGGTTTGCGTAATGTAGCAGCAAGTGAAGGACAGTGCATTAATATAAGCATGCATGCTGTGTAGTTGTTCCTAGCCTGACGGAGTTGACGTAGTTGATGGGAGAATGCGCAGAAATGCCAGGAAGTGCCACTCCGACAACCCTTAGGCACATAGATAGCCAGCCTTCCCTGTATTCTGGACCATTGGTGTATCCAATTGTCAAACTCCTCAGCAGCTCCCAAACAGCATTCAGGTGTACTGCCACTGCATTCCTTAAACTGAAGAAATTCTTGTTCGGCTCCTCCTGCATTTCCTGTACATAATAATATGATGATATACCCATATCGCTTACATCATCTTGTATTCATAAAATGTCTCTTGATCAATCTATGCCAGAGCTATTAGGGACATCCATGAACAACAACTTACGTACTTGCTCAATGTAGAAGCTGTCATAGTAGAGGCAGTATCCAAAATGCTTGTACAGGAAGGTTTTGTCGTCGTAAGGCAGCCTGGGGACCAAGTCGTTGCAGTAGACAACCCTGAAGTATTTGTGCGAAGGGCGTTCGAGATGGGCTGCCATGAACTTCCCTAGCTGCGCGTTCCCAATCCTCGGCTGTCCAAACGTGTATACTCCCAGCAACCTTTTCATCAGCTCATCCTGCACTCCAAGTCTCCAACACAACATTATCAGCTAGCTACGACGAGACTTTGATCATAATACATATCTATCAACAGAAATCGGGTCTGATTTAATCCATCCCAGTACCTCCTGGTGCAACAGAAGCACGGTTGGGAACAGTATGGCAAGTGCCGCGCCTAAGCTGTGACCAGTCACCACAAATTTTGCGTCTTTGTTCTCTGCCAGCAAGCGCTTGAGCTTTTTCTTCACCAGGTAGTATGCACTCTTCTGCCAACCGCCATTAACTTGATCATGATTAGTAGTAAATCGTCCTCCAGATTGCAGGTGATGGTCTAAGGTTGAGATGTCATTCCTATTTCCCAATCCCATGGCTTCTATGAATCCCATGTGGACCTTCCCCAGCTTCGGGATCTCGTACCACGAGTAGTCGAAGTCGGTACACCAGTCGTCAGCATCGAAAGGCTCCGTTCCCCTGAAGCTGATCAGTATCAACTTGGCGTCTCTTGGCTTGTCGCAGAGTATGAACACTTGTGTCGACATTTGCTTTTGGAAATCTACATATTAAACCATACCACGCACTTATATCAACCACGTCCACGAAATCAATCGAGTTATTAGTTTAGAGCTTTGCTAATTAACTAACCAACGTAACTCACCATTCCAGCAGTTGAAGAAGTCCACAAAATGCATCTGCTTTGAACCAGAAGATCAGTACATAACATTAATTCGCTTATTATTATTATTAAACGACTCGAGATTCGATTCTTACGATTCGTACCTTCCAGTGGCGACTGACAATGGTTTGAACGACCTTGGCGTTTTCATAAGCCAGCTTGGAGGCCATAACACAGAGGTCCATCAGAGCTCGATTCGGCTCACCAGAGCTGTCTTGACCGCCAAGCAACTGTACTAGTTGATCATGGTCATCAGGGGCAGGGCTGCCCTTATTGTAAAGGTCGATTCTTCCATCCAAATGTCCGATGGTGGATATAAACGTCGCGCTACCCCTCTCAGGTACTACTACCTTACCTGCATATGCAAACATGACATGTAATCTCCATATCTAGTTTCTGTATAAGCTTAACTTAAGAGAATTAATTGAAGATGATGAAGTGGATCAAGCAGGAATATGGGATATATATTATATATACCGAGCAGAAAGTTGAGGAGCAAGCCAGAGATGCCGCCATTGAGGGAGAGGAGATTGAGGAAGAAATCAAGGGCGTAACCAGTGTACTCCATGGGCTTCCCAAGAGTTGAAATGATCTTGCGAGCGATTACAGACACCAATATCACCCATGATGATGCTGTTCTGTAAACGTCGCCCCAATCTTCCAACACCTCTCCTTGATGATCAATATGATCATTCGTCTCCAAGAACTTGCAGGCGCTGCTCATAAGAGCGTCACCGCCCCACAGCGTGGAGCCGAGCAAGTCCCATATTCCTCCCTTCTCTGGCCTCACTATCAAATACCGTCTCCTCCTGCTCTGTAGTAACAGAGCATCATCATCTTCCACGCTCATGCTACTACTATTTCCAGCCATTATCAGCTGCTATAAACAGTAACTAACAATCAATTCGTGCTGATATATATACACGGATCGATATGGGTGTGGGGAATTCCTTGCAAGGGATATCTAACATAATCATGATTGTGCCCAACGAACAGTTCCTTTAATTTGTTATATCCGCAGAGATAGATGGTTTGCTTATTCCATCGGTACTTCCACGCTGCAGTCATCGTTTGCGTCATGAATCAACCGCTAGCTATATGTGGATTGGGATTAGCGGTTTCGTTGTGTTCTTCATCGCTAGCCAGCATTTGTTGCCTAGCTAGCTCACGCCGTTCCGTTTTCGGGCTCATTCAATCCTCATCTTCTGTGAACCTACATGAAGCAAAAAGGCTCCGCCTTTTGAGTTAGAATTTGGAGAATAAGGAATTTGATAATATTGGTCACATGTATCGCTTGAAAGCCAAGGAAGAGGCAACCCTTCACAAAGAGTGTTTGGAGAGAGTTGAATTGAATGTGTGTCCCGATAGTAAAGTTGTTGTGCTAGAAAGAGTTTGTTAATTGTTCAAAAATATACCTTCTGCACCTGGAAAATCTATTAAGTTTTAATATGCGTCTATTATTCAAGCGGTTGAGTCTGGCAATTTTTATCGCGTCTGGATACATCTGGCAATTTGGATAGTATTTGGGTACGTCGGGCGATATAGATTGCATTTGAGTACATTTGGAAATATTGATTGCATCAGGTACATCTGGTATTTGAGAGAAAATTCAAGTCAATGTGAAAGTTTGTTCGTATATGTCTTTAATTTTCTATTTTGGATTTGTTCTTTGTTTTTTTATTTATTTATTTTAGACCTAGTTTGTTTGGTTTTATGGTTGGCCTTTGTTTTTATCTTTTTCTTTTAAATATGAAAAAAGCGTTTGATTTTCTATTTATGATTAGAAGAAGAATTCTACAAATACTATTTATCACTCTAATATGTAGTTAAGTCCGTCACAATTAGGTTACAAATATGCCCAAGAGATTTTTTTTTTTTTGAAAGTGATTTCATTCATTCATTCCCCAAAGAGCAAGGTTACAACAAAACAGAAACAACATTGAGTACATGAAGCCATTCAGGATGAAGGCCATTAAGTCTACAGTTTCGTGCCACCCAATCAGCACATTTGTTGTTAAGACGACTCGTGAAAGAAACACGAATTCTTGTCGAATGTTGCAAGATTCTGGAGATGGAGGAAAGGGCTGCGTAACATCGCCAAGGCCAATCAGCAGGCTGACCGTTGAGAGCGTCCACCAGAACTTTGCAATCGGACATGATAACTGAGGGGGTCGGATCTTCAAGTGCACAATGGCAAGCTTCAAGAATTGCATGTGCCTCTGCTTCAATTGGGGAAGAACAAGAGATCCTTCCCGCCTTTCCATCACAAATCTGTCCATTGGAGTTAGTAATAACTAATCCAAAAGCCGCCTCCTGTGTCACATGATCAAAAGAACCATCACAGAAAATCCTTTTCAGAGGAAACAATGGCGGTGGGCATGATTGTGGTGCAATGTTTCTAGGTTGAGTGAAGGAAGGAACGGGAGTAGGATTGTAACAAGGTCCAGCTGCATCTCTGAAGGCGCAAATGGCAGTCAAAGATGGGACTGGAACGACCCTTCTGAAGATAAACTCGTTACGAGCTTTCCAAATATTCCACAAGCAGAAGATCTTCTTTCGACACGAATCAAGGTTATCCTCCTCCCTTAGGGAGAAGATCCATTGTGAGAGATTAGGAGGAGCATCGAGGGAGGGGAACACCTTGTGCCAGGTTGCTGCGGCATGTGGGCACAAAAAGAGGCAATGACGAGCATTTTCCTCAGCCCCACTACAAAGCTGACATGAAGGGTTAGGAGCACAATGTCGACGGTGAAGGTTAAGCTTCGTAGCGAGAGCATTTCGTAAGCATCTCCACATGAAGAAGCGGATCTTGGGTGGAAGGTTCAAGGACCAAAGCCACTTCCATTTGTCGTCATCAGCTGGCATGTTAACGTCATTGACCGACGGCTGGTTCTGTTCTTTAAAGTGCTTCCTTATCCCATGGTAGGCAGTCCGCACAGAAAATTCCCCTGAAGAGTTGAATTTCCATGCCCACTTGTCCGGGGAACCTTCTGGGCCAATTGGATGCGAGAGATAGCATCTCCTTCTTCCGGTGAATAATGACGTCGGATAAGGCTCATGTTCCACTTCGAGCCGTCTCCATTCTTCCAGTCGCACACCCGAGAAGGTGGGTACATCTGAGACGAGATATTGTGACTTTGGAGAGTGTGAACCCAAGGATTGCTATGAAAGCATGTTTCCTCCCATGCACCAATGACACGGATCGTACCCAAATCCAGTGCTTTCCTTGAATCGCACAAGCTTGCCCAAATCCACGACGACCTGTTTCCCTTCTTGGCCGAGAGGAAATGACCGTTAGGGAAGTAAAGTCCCCGCATCAAACGAGCCCAGAGAGCATCCGAGTCATTAAGAAGCCTACATCCCTGTTTGGCAAGCAGAGATAAATTAAACGGGTTAAAATTCTGGAATCCAACCCCACCCTCACCTTTGGGGTCATTCAGGACCTCTCCTTTTCGCCACGGGATCAAACGCTTTTTCATCGATCCTGACCAGAAGAACCTGTGAATAAGAGAGTCCATCTTCTTGGTAAGAGTGGCCGGGAGAAGGAAGACACTCATAATGAAAGTTGGGATCGCTTGAAGGACAACCTTGATCAACGTTTCCTTCCCACCATGAGAGAGCATGAGGCTCTTCCATGAATCCCCTCTTTTCTCCATTCTTTCGAGGAGGAATGAAAAAGTTTCTTTCTTCGATCTTCCCCATTCAGTGGGGACCCCCAAGTATTTATCATGACAAATTGAAGAAGGAAAGCCGAGGAAAGTGGTGATAGAAAGTCTCAAAGGCGAGGGAAGACCGATGACTTTTCCATGTTCACTTCCTGTCCTGTTAGCGATTTGTACTTGTCAATGATATGGATAACAGCCTCAGCTTCCTCCAAAGAGGCTTTCCCGAATACAACGGTATCATCTGCAAACAAGCAGTGAGAAAGACGATGGCAATTAGGTTTGATTTTTAACCCCTAAACAACCCCTTCAGAAATCCCTCTATCCAACAGAAATGACAGAGCATTTGACATTAGGATAAAAAGGAAAGGGGATAAAGGGTCTCCCTATCTAATGCCACGCGTGGGGGAGAAGCATTCAGTGGGACCACCGTTCACTAAGATCGAGAAACGAACCGTCCGAATGCATTCTTTAACCCATCTACACCACTTTTGGTTGAAACCGTATGCCTCCAGAAGGGCATCCAAACAGTCCCAGTCCACAAGGTCGAAAGCTTTCTTCATGTCCATTTTCATCATCATGTCATACTGCTTCCCCTTGCTGCGGTTCTTGAAGTGATGGAGCACTTCATGGACAATGATGATGTTGTCCTGAATCATTCTCCCTCCCGTGAAAGCTGCTTGCGTTTCCGAGACAAGGGATGGCATGAACTCTTTGACTCTGCTTGACATAATCTTGGAGACCACCTTGTACTTGAAATTGCAGCAGCTAATAGGTCGGAATTGGCCAACAGATTCCGGTGAAGGCACCTTCGCAATGAGAGCAATGTGTGTGTCATTCCACCCCTGGGGAAGCTTCTCGGTCTCGAAGAAAACCAAAACCTCTCTGCAAAAGTCATCACCAACCGTGTTCCAAAATTTTCGATAAAAGATACCTGAAAAACCATCTGGTCCTGGGGATTTGTGGGCACCCAAGGAGAAGACGGCTTTTCGTATCTCATTAATCGTGACCGGCTTGCTGAGATCGACATTCATTGAATCAGTAACGAGGCGTGGGAAGTCATTCAACAAGCTGGCATCAAAACCCATCTCCTTTGCAGTGAACAAGTCTTTGTAGAAGTCCTGTATATGCTTAGCAAGGAGAGAAGGATGCTTGATCCAATTACCATTCTGACCCTTCAATCCCAAAATGCGGTTATAGTGGCGCCGAAAAACCGTGGAGGAGTGGAAGAATTTTGTGTTTCGGTCACCTTCCGCCAGCCATTGAATTCGAGATCTCTGTCTCCATGCTTTTTCTTCGTCTTTCCACAGTGGCTCAAGCTCCTCAAAAAGTTTTGTTTCCTCTTCTAGGACATCATCCGTCCTAAAAACCTGTTCCAGCATCTCAAGCCTGCTGTCCACCAGATGGCTAGACCACCTGTTGTTCCCTCTGGTTCGACATATTCTCCTTTGTAGAAGTTGTTACTGATTCTTTTTTCCTCCATAGTAGACCTAGAATTCTTTGTTTCCATGAGAAACACCAAAGAAGGACGAAATTTCCTCACCATTCTTGTGAGGTGGTTGTCTGTCCGAGGCTGACCAATCCCCTGACAGTTCCAGCTAATGCAAGTCATGGTTCCCCGGGTGGCTTATTGCCGACCACCGACGCTTCAGATTTTGCAAGCTTCCCCTTTCCTTCATTTCCATGATCACTTGCCTGATGGACTTCTTTCTCTAGGTTGGGCTGCTGTGGTTTTCTTCCTTTCACTTTAATCCTTGCATTGCGAGGCTTGATCGATCCCTCACCGAGAGAGAAATACGGTCCCTCAAAGTCAAGTGGCTAGGGCTGTCAGTCGGCCGGTTTCGGTTTAACCGAAAACCGAAAAGTCAGTTTTCGGTTAAACCGAGCGACCCCCTAGTACTACCGACCGACGAGTTTCACACGGTCACCGCCTAACCGACCGTTCGGTTATAGGTTATAACCGCGGTTAGCCGAATTAAATACAAAAAATAAAAATAAAAAAGAAATAGAAGAAAAGTCGGTCCACCACACATTTTCAGACCCACCTTATCTTCTTCTTTTCTCCTCACCCAAAATGAGGAAAAGAAGCACCGAAGTCTTTTCTTCTCCCCTCTCTCTCCTTTGCCTCTGCTAACCACCCAAGACCCTTCTTCTCTCCTCTCACTTTTCTTTTCCTTCTGCTCGGGGACGGCCGATGGACGCGGTTCATCTGCTCGTGGACGGTGACGGCGACGACGAGATCTGGGCGAGGCGACGCGGCGAGGAAGGGATGGAGGCGGCTGCGCGAGGCGGCGCGATGAGGACTAGATCTGGGCGAGGCTGCTGCGCGAGGTGACGCGACGAGGAAGGGATATGGACGGGTGCGACGCGACGAGGAAGGATCTGCATGGCGGCGAGGAACGGAGGAAGGCGGCGGCCGTGAGGCGACAAGGAAGGGAGCTGGGCGGCGGCCGTGACTCGTGAGTCGTGAGGGTGAGGGTTTTATGAGGGGATTATAGGGTTTCAGTTTGGGGTTATGGGGTTTTTTTTTTTTGCAGGGAGGGCATTATATGAGGATTTGTCGGTTTGGTTCGGTTTTTTCGGATAACCGTGGTTAATAATGGTCGGTTACTCGATTATCCGAAGCTTGTTTATTCTCCTCCGTCCACCGACCGAAGTAATTTTAGTCTCGGTTTTCGATTAGCCGAAAACCGGTCGGTTCGATTGTAACCGACGGTTATCCGCTAACCGAAAACCGAACTGCCAGCCCTACAAGTGGCTGTCCATGTTTTCTTTTCTTAACATCTCCTTGGATATCTTCGACTTGGCCAGAATGGTGGGAGAAATTCAAATCATTGGGCCTGAGGTTCAGATCCATCTTTTGGCTGAGTTCATAGACCATTTGAGAAACATGATGATTGTTGAGCTGGCCCAAGTTCCTATCTAATACCCCGACAGCTTCTATTCTTAATATGCTGTTGGGTTAGCATTTTGTACTCTAGTGGTTACAAATAGTTCCTCGAATAACTTACAAGGAAAACGCTGAAATGAAGCTCAACAGCAAATCCGACAAACAAAGCCATTCATTTTGGTCAATAAAGAAGACAGGTTGTATCAGATTGTATGTATGGCTAAATTACACGCAAATCTAGCGACAAAAATGGAATTTGCACTTTACTTGTAAAATAAAATCAGCAACAAGTACCTACCTTTTTGTTGGAAATTAAAATAGTATGGAATATTCATGAAATAAAAAAAGAAGAATGAGATTGGCGACTATTCCATTTCTAATTTCAATCAGCAGCTTTGGATTCTTTAAGCTAATCGTGCCTGCCAGCTTCCACTACTCGGTTTCGTTTGATGCTGAGAGGGTGGCATCGTGGAATGAAGAACAGCTCGCCACTCTAGAAAGCGAAATTCAATTAAAAAATCATTGGAGTCCTTTCATCTATCATATTCATATCCCTTCTTTAAGGAAAATATAAAGTCCTATCATTCAGATGGGTGCGGCGAGGTGAGGTGGGGGTTCTGTTCTGTTCCTGTTCTAATTTACATACGGAGGGCACACATTAATACATTATATTTTATGTATTATTCTTAAATTCATTTGTCTAAAAAAAGGGAAACTATAAAGTGAAGGCTAGAAGTTGGGCAGGGAAGCCCTGTTCTTTTTAGCTTGTGGGTAGGAGGAGAAAGGAAGAAGCTTGGAGTCGGGGGGAAATGATGATGGAGAAGCGGAGGAGGAGAAGGGTTGAGCTGATTGTAATGTTTACAGTGCTGATATTCTTCTGCATTCTGGGTTGCATCTCTGCTGCCACAGATCCAACCGATGGTATTATTCTCTTTCCTCTCTCTCTCTCCACTTCCATCTTATCTCAACCTTGCTTCTTTTTGCTGGGTACTTTTTGTTTCTTAATATGGTGATAAAGTGCTTCCTTCAAATGTGTTGGTTGGATCTTCCCTTTCCTTTCATCTGGACTTGTTTGCTTTCTCTTCCATTTCTATGCTTCTCCATGGAATCGCTGCCTTTGCTTTGGCCTTGGACTAACTACAGTCTTGCTTGCTTTGGAACCAAACATTCTCGTCGGTGTTCGTGCTGCTCTGTGGAAATTTGTTCACAGTTCTAGCTAGGTAGGATGGGACCAAATGAGATAAAGCACCTCTTTTTCCAGTTCATTACCTACTTGAAGAGGAGAACGCAAACCACTGGAACTCATCTCTATTGTCTGGGATTGCTGGGAGTCGGTTATCTACTCTGATGTCAAAACTAGCTAGCTCACTTCTTATTAGCACTAGCACCCTGGGATTGTGAATCCCAAATAACTTCTTTTGGCAGACATTGACAGAGGATACCGATATATCGACGTTTATCTACTAGGCCAGTAACTTTCATGTCTACCTCATAGCAAGGCATGCTTATGAACCCTAAAGATATGATCTTTACCATCCGTGGCCCCACTGCTCTTAAGCAAGCTGTTATGGATCATTTAGTTGGAACGGTGAAAGAGCTAGCTAATGATGCAAGCTTAGAGTCTCAGACCAACGAGTTTAGAACTAGGGAGTTTCATGCAGTATTCAAGGAAATGGCAGTTGGGATAATTGTGGTGTATTCAGAATAGAATTGCTCTCACAATTTTTGCAACAACTAGATTCTTTTCAGGAAAAGGCCTCGTCAAATGGGGCTACTCACTGGTACATGTATGTTTATTTGTAAGAAATTGTACATACCAACGTTTCATGGCACCCCAGTTGTGATGGGTAAAGTGGGAACTGATTAAGGCAGTGCTCTGAGTAAGGGATTATTGAAGGAAATGTTCCTGTTAGTCAGTAGGTTTTTGCAATTTTGAGAAAGTATGTGAAGGAAATTGTTTGTATGTCATGAGTTACTGGATGATGCTGATATTGCTTTCTTCCTGATGGAGCCACCATCCCTCATCGACAGCCAAACATTTCCAGATGGCCCGTGTTTGAAGCTAGTAAAGTTTCATTGTCCAGATATTCAACGTTTTCTTATTTCGCTTACCCTTAGGTATTGATCTTGCCTGCATTGTTAACTTTGTACCTCACCAGATGCTAATTTAAGATACAGAGTTTCAATTGCTTTAGTGATTGTATAATCAAGAAAGAGCCCCAACTAGGAAGATTGATTATGCATTGTTACTGTCAGGATTCTGCTTCACTCTTTGTATAGTGAAACAGGGAACAGATTCATTGTATCACAACAAAATCATTTCCTGAACAGTTATACCTCTGCTAATTGATTGTTCAAACTTGCAGCTTCAGCTCTACGTGTCATGTACAGTTCCTTAAACTCACCAGGTCAGCTGACCCAGTGGAGCGCAAATGGTGATGATCCTTGTGGCCAGAATTGGAAAGGCGTTACATGTTCTGGCTCGCGAGTCACGGAAATGTGATTTTCTACTGCACTAGTTCATCGTTGTTGCATTATACTGTCAGAATTTTTCATTTGCAACTGATCATTTCGTGTGTGTGTGTGTGTTCAATGTGTTTCACCAGAAAATTGTCCGGTCTTGGACTCTCTGGGACAATGGGGTACCAGCTTGACAGTTTAAAATCATTAAAATCCCTGTGAGAACAATGTGCTGTCAGTTCTGTTGTGTTTCCTCTTGACCCCCTCCATCTTCCCTTTTCTCTCCCCTACTTGGATTCTCTTTCTTATTTCCTCTTCTCCCATTTGGAGCTAATTTTTTAACTGTAACATGGTGTTGGCAGGGACATGAGCAGCAATAATCTTGGAGGCAATATACCTTACCAATTGCCACAAAACCTGGAAAGATTGTATAACTCCTGTGTTGCCTCTTCGTTTTGATAGTTTGCCTCTCTTCATGTCATTTCTCACTCATGGAAATGCACATAATTTCCTTTTTGCAGGAATCTCGCTAATAATCAGTTCAATGGAGGAATACCATATTCCATTTCTCAGATGGCCTCTCTGAAGTACTTGTGAGTAATCAGAAATTGTTCGTTATAATTTGCAGAATGACCACTTTTCCCCCATTCTTTATACTTGTTGTAACACTTACTTTTTTTGGACTATTAGAAGCCTTGCTCATAATCAGCTTCAGAATCAACTGGGAGATATGTTTGGATCACTTACTTCCTTGTCCACATTGTAAGATCTTCTGACTTGGCAGGATTGACCCTTTTAGTTTCTCATTGGTTGTTCGTAGTTTTGCTTGAAAATTGTCACTATATGCAAACATCAATATATCTGAATCTGAAACTTTTTGCTAATAACCACTGTCAATTTTATGTTTGAAGAGACCGTTATTTTGTGTTGGTTCTGTAATGAAGAGAAAGAATCCCATGTGACTCACTGGTCTATGGTTCGAACAGGGATATATCTTCCAACCAACTAGCAGGGAATCTGCCTGAGAGTTTTGGCTCCCTTCCAAGCATGACAAATATGTAAGTATGAAAAATGTTCTTGCTCTGATATGATGCACCCTTAGCCGCGGCTGACATTTTCCCCCCTTTGACAGGTACCTACAAAACAACCAATTCACAGGCACCATTGATGTCCTTGCTAGCCTTCCTCTTCAAACCCTGTGAGTCACCTGCTTCCTGGTATTGAATGGATAACATATATTTCTTAAGAGCTGGCCCATCATTTGACTTATTTTTTGTAGGAATATTGCTAACAATCGTTTCACCGGCTGGGTTCCACAACAGTTGAGCAGCATTAACATCATGTAAGCAATTTACGTTCTTGAAATTTGTTGCAATTTCCATACATTGCCTTAGTTGAAATATGCCAAAAACTGAGATGAGTGATCTTTGTGACAGAAAGGACGGAAACAATTGGAACTCTGGACCTGCACCCCCTCCTCCACCTGGGACACCTCCAGTCCACAAACTTCCAGGCCATAAACCTGGCGGCAATGGTGGTGCATCAAATGCTGGCAGTGCTGATGGTAGTGGCAGCAAAAAATCAGGAATAGGGGGAGGTGGTATTGCTGGAATAATTATATCTATCTTGGTCGTTGGTGCAATAGCTGCCTTCTTCTTTGTGAGAAAAAGATCCAGCAGGAGATCATCAGATGTTGAAAAGCTTGATAATGAACCATTTGCTCCTCTTTCTGGCAATGAAGTAGAAGGCAAGTCCGGTCTGCTTCTCGCTCTTATTTCCCTTGCTTAAGTGTTCTTACACTAGAGTGCTCCATTGCTTGCTTTGCTGGTTGACTATGGAGTTAGAAGTATTTACCATATGACTGCAATGTTGTTGGTCTAGTTGCAAAGGGATAATAATTCCACTTAGAGAAATTTTGAAATTTTCAATTCCTTAAATAAGGAGAATTAAGAAGTCCTGTGCACATAAACTGCAATTAGCCATGTCATTTTGGCATCTGCAATGCTAGTCAAGCCATTGGCAGCCTTGAGACAGATCTGATATTGAGAACGTGCTAGTCCTTTGGTATTCAGTTTGTTAAAATCCACTTGATGTTTAGTTCCGAAGTTTCCTTCAAGAAGATGCAAGATATGTAAGTTTTCTTTCCTTATGCTGCAGATGCAGTTACTGAAACATATTAAATTGTATTTGCAGAAATGAAATCCGTACACAGTTCATCCTCAATCAACACTAAAACCTTGGATGTCCCAGCGTCAATGACTCTCAAGCCCCCACCTATAGATCGCACAAAATCATTTGATGAGGATGAATCTGTCAAGAAGCATGTTGTCAAGAAACGTGTTGCAGCTCCTGTTAATGTCACAACATACTCAATAGCGGACCTCCAATTGGCAACTGGAAGCTTCAGTATCGAGCATCTTCTTGGTGAAGGGTCTTTTGGGCGTGTTTATCGAGCTCATTTTGATGATGGGAAGGTACAGATTGGTTCTTCCTTACCTTTGCTTTCATTTTTGGCTTGTAGCTTCAAATGGAAATATTATGCACTCAGTACAAACAGGGTATCTGATGATTAGTCTACCACCGAGTTTTCAATTTTTGTGTAGTCGGTCCTTTATGCTCATTATTCTTTATTCAGATGCAATCAGAACTTTCTCTGTTCTTATTGTCTGCCTTCTCGAACACTGCTCTCAGGTGCTTGCAGTGAAGAAAATAGATACAGCTGCTTTATCCAGTGAAATGTCTGAAGATTTTGTGGAGGTGGTTTCAAAGATCTGTGACTTGCATCACACGAATGTAACAGAGTTAGTGGGCTATTGTTCTGAGCATGGACAACATCTACTAGTCTATGAGTTCCATAGACAAGGATCCCTACATGACTTGCTGCATCTATCAGACGAATACAGCAAGCCCTTGATATGGAATTCTCGAGTCAAGATAGCACTTGGGACAGCTCGTGCATTAGAGTAAGTTTGCAGCAAGTATATGGACAAGATAGCTCAATCTCTTTGATGTTCTTATCCATGTTAAATAATAGTTGCAACTGCATGAATAATTGTCCAGTGGTGAAAATCTTATTTACCTTTTGATCATGTGAACCTAGCCAGACCGCAGTTCATTTCCAGGAAATCTTTGAACTGCGTCAGCACTCTCCTTGTCTTGTGTGAGAATTATTCTAGGGTTCGTTTATTCCCAGTTATTTTTGGAACTTAGGTTTCTTAAAAAGTTTGGTCTTTGAGGAGTCTATTTGAAATTGGGAAATTGTAGGAAATGGTTGGTCTGAAAATGCATCGTCTGAAAAGTATAATGTAGCTTGCAACTGAAATATCCGCTAAAAGCTAAGATTTCAAGTATGTCATTTGTGAAATACTTCATCACACTTGAAACGTGTATTTCAGACAGTTGTGCTGTTGAAAAAGGATGTACTGTCTGGTAATTATTTTGAGAGTTTCATCATTTTCAAATCAAGGGTTCCAAGCAACTTAGTCTGAATACCCACATTTTCTTAAACATGAATCGTTAAAATTTATGCTTTTTACAGTCCCCGATCACCCGACGACCCTAGTGAAATATATGATCGCATCTCATAATTCTGACGACGCTAGCCCATATGTCTGTGAGTTCGTGTTTCCTATGCACATAAATTGTACTAATTGTTTCTTCATGTTTCAGGTATCTTCATGAAGTATGCTCTCCATCTATTATTCACAAAAACATCAAGTCAGCGAACATACTATTAGACACTGAGCTGAATCCTCACCTTTCAGACTCTGGCTTGGCAAGCTTTCTGCCAAATGGAGATCAGGTAAATTTGAGTCCTCAAAGTGTGGCTATTCATGGACCATCCTTTGTTTTCTGTGTATGGCCTGGTAGCCCTACCTACTACTTTTAAATAAAGTTGCCATATCAACTTGTTAGGGATACCAAATTGATGTTCCAAGCAATCATACTCCTAGGATTACCAAATTGATGTTCCAAGCAATCATACTCCTAGGATTAGTTTAAGGAGTAGTGCAGCCTTGCTAGCATAAGAGCTTAGATCTTTGATCTCTCCTGCATAAATGTTAGAAGACCTTGTACAATGGGCTAAAATCTGGATATCCTCTTTATATCCAGGGGCTAGGATACAACACGATGATTGATAATATGTATAAAATAACTAGGTCCAACAGAAGAAACTCCCTGGACAATTAATTGCTCGGCCTTTAAACTAGGAATAAACATTTGGGTCGACATCAATAAACCCTTGTTAGTAGTTCATTATGTGGAATTTTCTGGTGCTTCTTAATCTGCACCGATTGCCGCAGCAAGTGTGTGTAAGTATGATTTAAGCCTTCAATGCTTTGGTCGGGTTTGTGTTCTTATTTCATTAAATTTTGATTGTAGAATTCCACAAAAAGTAAGAAAAATAGCTCTATTGTATAAGTGAAAGCTTTATAGAAGGTAGATTGATAATCCTTGCATGCCCTGAAATCATTAGTTTCTGCCATGATGTGCAGGCATTGAACCAGAATGCAGGTTCCGGTTATAGTGCACCTGAGGTCGCTATGTCTGGCCAATATACTCTTAAGAGTGATGTGTATAGCTTTGGAGTAGTGATGCTGGAACTTCTTACTGGGCGTAAACCATTTGACAGGTAAGCTATTTATTCCATGATCAACAATTCAACATGATGATGCAAGTGTCAAGAGGAGCTTTATATTTATGAAGATTATAATCTTCTTCTGCACGTGTATGCTAATTTTGGCAGTTCAAGGTCGAGAACTGAGCAATCTCTGGTCCGTTGGGCGACACCACAGCTGCATGACATTGATGCATTGTCTAAAATGGTTGATCCAGCACTAAATGGACTTTACCCTGTTAAATCTCTCTCCCGGTTTGCTGATGTTATCGCTCTTTGTGTTCAGGTACGTAACTGGTTGAGACAAGATTTGAGGACTTGAAAAATGTTCTACTTTTATCTCCATGCATGTGCACTTGCACCTGGAAAATAATATACTGTGTGCATATGTAGTATACAATAGGGTGCATGTGGCTGATACCATTCTAAAGAGAATTAAATGAAGTGCAAGAAAAAGGAGTTATGAATCTCCTGATGGTTCCTCTAGCCAGACAGAATAATAGAATGACATGATGAAAGAAGCTGCCAGAGAAGATAATCTTAAATCCCAACTGGCTTGGATTCATCATTATATGTGATCCAATCAAAGAATTGGATTAGATGTTGAAAAAGAAGTCAATCTAAAAGATGGGATCATGACCGTGCTTGATATGTTAATTTGACTTCTGCTTCTTTCCCCATCTTGTTATATTCCCAATGGAGTGTTCCATTGTCGTACTATGAGTTTAGCATCATGCTTCGATGTTGATTCACACAGAAGCATGGAAATGTTTGCTGATACTTCTTATTTATGGCAGCCTGAGCCTGAATTCCGACCACCTATGTCCGAAGTGGTGGAAGCACTGGTTCGTTTAGTGCAGCGAGCTAACATGAGCAAGCGAACGACTGGGAGCGAACAGACAGCAGGCTCCCAAGCTGAAAACTCGTCAGATGCACAGGATTACATGTCTTAGTTGGCTGCACAATGTCTTCCCTCCCTTCCTCACTCCAGAAACTCAACCGGGCCTTGGTACAGTTGGTTGGTTACTAGTAGTATACCGTTTCTTGTTGTCATTGCTTGAAAGTTTTGCTACTGAGGTCATCGGTTGTCATTCCATTGTACTTGAAGTAACCCCGATTTGTGAAATACTGTTTACTGTGTTAATATTGCTCGCTGTCTAAAAATTTCCCTTAAATAGTCTGCTTGGTGGGCTTACAAGTTTGAAGATAAATGGTGTATCTTTATAGATTTTTTTAGTCACGGTAATGGTCAATATAATCATAGTATTCTTCCCAAATAACGGTTTAATAGTGATCCGTGAAACCCGCGGGAGATAAGAATGGTAGATGTGATTCATGTGAAACGTTTTGGTTTTCTCAAACCAAACCCGAAAAAAAGATAAAACTCGCCGAGCTCGATATATGACGATATTTATTAAATTGACATATTGACCCTGAGCTGAAATGGGTTGTTAATAACAATTGGAATAAGATAGGGTATTCACATCTTAAGTATTAATATTATGCTAACATAATCCATAAGAAAAGATGTTTGGTTGTTTATTTTTGTCAGCACCTGGGATCGGTTAGCAGCTAACCCCCTTGAGAGTTGGAAAAATAACACTCTCCTGAAGTATTAAATATAATTACAGAATTTAATACAAAAATTAAATACACATTAGAAATTAAATGCACCATATTAATTATTATTATTTTCAAATTCAAACCTACACTAAATAAATTCTCTCTCCCTATATCTGACTTTTCCTTTTTCAACAGCCTCCGACCACCACACTTCTCCGGTGAAAATTCCATCGGCAGACTCCCTCCGACCACCTGCAAAACATATACCACTGCACTGATACGTTGTACCAATGCACAGGTAGCTATACCACTGCACTGGTAGCGATATCAGTGCACTGGTACCAATGTCATATCTGAGTATAAGTGCAGTGGTACAAATACCAGTACAGTGGTAGAACATATCAATGCAGTGGTATATTTTCGCAGGTGACCGGAAGAGTCTGTCGGCGGAATTTTACCAGTAAAGTGTGGTGGTCGGAAGCTACTGGGAAATGAAGAATCAGATATAGGAGTGAGAAAGATCAAAGACGAGAGAGAGAATTGTATTTTGTATCTGTTTAGATTTTTTTTAAACAAGTAATTAATGTGGTGTATTTAATAACAAAACATTTATTATCTCTATCTTCATTAATACTTGTCAATGATTAATGAAAAAATTGACCAATTGGGTCATCTCTAATGCGTCTTCAAATTAAAGAACTACACTACTTTGTTTTGTGACGGGCAAAGAACCATTGGAAAAATTAAACTACGCCAAAAGTAGTGATGACAAACAGGCGGGGCGGGAATCTCGATATCCATATTCGTCAAGCAGCAAGCGCAGGTCATGTCGAGTGATACTCGCGCGGGTACTAGTCGGTGCATGTCGACTCATTCTCACATGTTATCTTAAAAAAAATAAACGTCTAAACTTTATTTTTATAATAAACGAAGGAAAAACACTTTATAAATGAAAATAGTGATAATCAAATAATAATTAAATATAATTAGCTTTTGTTTTGTGTGCAACGAGTGTAATTGGTTGAAATATTAACTCTTGCACCTATTTAAAGTTTATAAAATAAAGATACGATTGAAGAAAAGTTAAAATAGCAAGAATACGAATAAATATTTAGACAAATTGAGATACAATGAGTAAGGTACGATGTGGGACAAAATGGGACAATACATATCAGAATTAGTGTCTATATTTCGTTCCAAATCGAGTAATACACACCTTTATCACAAATAAGATCAAGTAATACTCGACCAGATATGTTCAAATTGACATCCGGCTAAAATACCAGAAAGGAAAAGTAAGCAAGAATCAAAACTACAAGAAATACTAGAACAACAAAATGGACAACAATGGGAGGAAAGTCCGTCGTCCCTTCAACAGTCAAGCCATGTTGCTCCCTCACTAAAACGTCCGATCCCCACCCGCATCTTTCCTCCACTTCCTTCACCGTCTTCCTCTCCACACCCAGCAGCAGGAGGCTGCAGTTGGCAGCAGCACTTCCACCTCTCCCCCAACTCATCACCAGAAATTTCCCATCGGATTCCGCCGCCACGACGCGCAAATGACTCTGCCGCGCCAGCATCACCGGCGGAGCAGCTACAGCCACCAGCATCGACCTCATCTGTCCACGCCGCTCCCCTTCAACTCCAAATACCAAAACGTCCCCCGTATCGAACAAACAAAAGAAACTCCCCGCCCTGTACCCAATCCCCTCGCAAACTCGGCGCTCCTCCCCTGTTCCACCGCCGCAAGTATACGTCTTCCACCGTAGCTCGCCGCGCCGGAAAGTGCTGAAACTACTGTATCCCCGCACAAAGAAAACGGTCCAGTCGGGATCTGTCGGCGGGGCCGAGAAGGCGGCTTTTAGCGGTGGTTGTGAAACAGGACAATGGAGAGCAGGGAGCCGGACGAAGCAGGACGGCCAGCGAAACAGAGGATTGAAAATCCCTACGATTCCAACATCACTAGATGACAGAAGCAACCACCCGCTCCCCGGCCAAGTGTATTTAACATACGCCCGGCTCAATTCCTTGCGGGTCTTGCTGGGGATTTCTGAACCCAGAAAGTCCAACGACATTGCCGGCGCCAGGGGAACCCAAACTGCAGGGGATTTCCGGGGACGGCGACGATATACTTGACGCCAGTTTCTGCACACGGATCCGAATTCCATGCGGCCAGCTGGGCCTGCCGGGAGCTTGTCGTATATCGGATCCAAGAGATCGGGACATAAATCTTCCCATGGCCTTCGATCCTCCTCCTTCTGCTGTTTTCTTCCACACCAGCTATTTCTTCTTCCTGCTCTTACTCTGCTACTACCCATCGTAACACTAACAGGCGGAGAAAGAAAACAGAGCAGTACTGTTGAGAAATGACGCAGAGGATATATCAGCCAAGATCCTTTCATGATTCACATATTAAGGATGTGTTCACTATAATAATAGATGCCGTGCCAGGCCATCAGGATTCTTTTATTTGAAATGGCAGGTTGATGGAATCTGCTTATAGTTAATTACTAACTTTTACTATATAATTACGAGCTTGGCCGGCCGGTCGCTGCCGGAATATTTTATAAGGTTGTTTTACCGGCTTTGTTTTATAATGAGTTTATAAATTTGTAGAAGTAGATGGATGATTAATTAGACGACCAATCAGGTTCTCTGCTCTCGTGCTAAGCGCGGGGAGCGGATCAGGTAACTCATATGGTGAATAACCATCAGTAACTTGTCCACATCCGCATGACATCAGCATCCCTTCTTTCCTAGAAAGTCTTTTATTTTTTCCCCATTAATCTTTAACGGACGATTTCTCTCTCGTTTTAAGTCGAAATTTAATTTTTTTTTGCACAGATAAATCAGATTAAATGTGCTCTTTAAAATGTTATCCACTTTGATATATTTTTAGTAAAAAAAAATTGAATAATTTTTTACCGGTCATTACCTTATGGTATGCTCGTATTTAATACCATATGGTAAGAAAGCGTACCATGATGGTATGAACATACCAATATGGTAAGAAGGTTGAATACACGATAGTATGAGTATACTAACTGTCATTTACGACTTTCATTATTGTTTACCACAAGTTACCACCCACATACCATAGTGGTAAAGTATGGTAATTTTTGGTCCAGTATTTTTTTCACCCAGAAATTTGTAGATCCAATAGATCATGATGAACTCGTTCCTTCTGAGCAAACGTTTTCAAAAATGACTTAAAAATGAAGAAGTTACCATATGGTATGTAGTTGGTAAAAAAAAAGTTTCTCGAAATATATTGAAAATTGATCTCATTTTGTAGAGCACAACGAACTCGTTTCATGTGTGCAAAAAAAAAAAATTGAAATCAGAGTTAAAACAAAAAAGATAAGAGCCGATTATAAAAACTATGGAAATAAAATGTCTTTAATTGACAACCTTTAGATCTGAATTTTCTTGGCCCACTTAGATCTAAAGGTCCAGATTTAGTTACTCATAGGTTAGTAACCATTGGTTACTGACCCTATCCTAAGCCCTAAGCGCGGTATAAGCATATTGCCTGGTGTTTTCGTTGGCTATATTTTTTGACCTTTCCATTAGAGCCGGCCTAATTAAGTATTAATACTCCACGTTCCAGCTTTTCATAATTAAATCTAGGGTTAATATTTTCGTATGCCTGAACTTTGACCAAAATAAACATCCTGGCCAATCTTTTCGATCTATAACATCCTGGCCCGAACTATACACCAAAATAAACAATTTGGCCAAACCCGATGTTTGACCGTTAACTTGGACGGTCAAACGCGTTGGCTAACGGTCAATGCGCCATGTCACTGCCAACTCAGAAGATCTAATAAATATTTAATTTTTTCGTTTTTCATTTTTGGTTTAACTAAGGTATTAGATGATTTTTTTAATTTATAATAATTTAAAATTAGGGAATGTGTAGAAATTGTGAATTATTTTAAATATTTTATGCTGACTTGGCATTGACATGGCACGTTGACTAACGATCAACGCGTTTGACCATCCAAGTTAACGATCAAACATCGGGTTTGGCCAAATTGTTTATTTTGATGTATAGTTTGGGCCAGGATGTTATAGATCGAAAAGATTGGCCAGGATGTTTATTTTGGTCAAAGTTCAGGCCATACGAAAATATTAACCCTTAAATCTAACTAGAAAAGAAAAGTATGCGCGCTATGCTGCTATGTTGGGAGTCCATGGTCTGCATTAGCTAATGAATGACTCCTTAATTTCGATTTTTCTTAGCAATATTATTTTTTTTCCCCTTTGAATGCCTACAATTTGCTTTGGTGAAGTCAGACCAACGAAATAATAAAAATAACTTATTATGCTATAGAAAAAAATAGTACTGGGCTTCTCGTGGTCACATGATAGTAGGCTAACAACTATCAAGATCTAGAATAAACCGAGTTATCAAATGAACCAATGTAGAAGCTCCAAAATTCCTCGAGCTCTCTGTTATTAGATTCTTTTTCTGGAATGGCTACCGTCGGCCTCCCTATAAATAATTTTGTCTGTTTCCACTCGAAATCTTCTTCCTCCTCTTCGTCAAATGATCAAAAAATGATGGCAATACCTTCATATCTTTATGTTTATCGAATTGAAGCTTGCCGGCAACAACCTCAATTCTACCAGCTATAATCTCCCTTGAGTAAGTACTTCGGTTAAAACACCTATATATGGTTGTATTATCTAGGGCTGTTAATGAACCAAACCGCTTATGAACGGCTCGACTTTCGATTCGAGAAAAATTCTTTCGAAACTCGAAACTCGAGCCATACCACGTTCAGCTCGGAAGCTCGTGAACAAGCTCATTTAATGTTTTGCCATAAGAAAGGATTAGAATTCATGGATTTTATGTATTGAAATTGGAAAAAATATTGTGTTTTATTTTGCTAGAATTTGCTACAAGTTTGAATGTAATTTTGTGCCCAGTTTAGGTAAATCTTGACCTACTATGAATTCATGAGCTAAACTCGATTTTGGGCTCGTTAACCTTATCTAATGAGCCGAGCTCGAACTGAGCTCGAGCTTTCATTTTCATAAATGAGCCGAGCTCGAGCTTGCATATTAAAACTCGTGACGAATACGAGCCGAGCTCGAGCTTGGAAATATATTAACGAGCCGAGCTCGAACTATGACAAAGTTCGACTCGGCTCAGCTCATTAACAACCCTAGTATTATCCATTTAAAATTTCATATCCGTATTATTTTCAAGTCGTTTCATTTTTCCCAATTCATTTCATGGCTCCCGTACTTAACACATATAAAACTCGTATGTCATTATCCAAGCGCGAATACATTCGTTTAAGAGAATATTTTTGGTGTAGAAAGTCTCAAATTCAACCACATTTGATATTCGTATTTAATGAATTAAATTGCTAACTTAACAATTATTTATATATTATTTTATAACTATTGACGTACTATTAAACATAACATACGCTTGCGAGGTAAGGATCAGCAATGCCATTTCCCTCATGGTCTCCAAGTCCCTTCCTCGTGTCTTTATCGAAGGTGATTCAGAAGTGGTGATTCGTCAGCTTTGTCAGGGTGTTTCTTCATATTCCCTCGGAGGACCCGTGCTTCGTGATTGTTTTCTTCTTTTGTCTTCAGTTTCTGACTCCTTAGAGTTTAGGGTAGTTCCTAGAACTGCTAACGGGGCAGCCCATAGAGTGCGCAAAAAGCCCTGTTACTTTCTTCTCTTGAGTTAAGTTCCTTCGACTTTGTAGGGTGGCTTCACTAAAGTAGTGATTTGGGAGGGTTTCTGGGTAGATTGTATAGTTTCTCTCTTTTGTCATATCTTGGGGGGGAAAATACCTAACATACGCCGACCGGTTCTGTGGTACCGGCACGACACTAATGTCGTCCCTTTTTCAACCGTTGGATTAATTATATTTAATGAGGACCATAGATCAATAATCACTACTTAACCAATACAGGTTGAACCTATTATACTCGGTCGGAAGAGAAAAATTGTTTATTACTGATCAAAATAATTATTTTATCAATTGCAGCCACTCTTCCCCCAAAATAATCGTGCATCTTTGTCGAACAGTTCTACCAGAAAATCGATCTACGAATAGTTGCAGCAGCATGCTCCCTTAATGGCTTGATCATCGGCGGAAAGTACAGGTTAACATAGTTGATAGAATCGATGGTTTCTGCAGCTTTGCTTCAATCTAATCACACTATTCCTATAATCCGACACTGCAACAGCGTATTCTGCAGCTTTGCTCGTGAAATGTTGTTCGTTGGCCTTGTGTCTTTTGTACTTTGGCAAGTGTAACTATCAAAGCAAAAGCAAATACATAACTAACACATGGAAAAAGAAAAAAGGAAATCCTACAAGTAGCAGATCAATTGAAGAAATCCCAGCCAATATGCAATTTGACACTTGGCAATGGTACTATTACTGCTACCCCTTACAATACTCCATGGTAGTGATGGACTGCCACGATAGAGACGATGACGGTGATGATTGTGAGGCGGCAACGGAGTTGATGATGGTGATGATCGAAATTGTCATGGCCGATCGAGGACAATATGATGTTGGGGTGGATTGTTGCGGCAGAGATGATGTTGGGGATTGCTAACACCAGGCCAATATTGGCCGATCTCCATAACTCTAAGTAGAGCTATGCCTCTTCATCCCTACCACTGATATCTGCAGTTCAGAACCAAATCCACTGCTGCAATTTTTACTCTGCCATTTCCTCAAGCAACCCCTTTTTCCTTTGACATACTCAACCTTTGATGCATTACCAACCATGAGCAAAATGATTCTTGATAGGGCCATCGAGAAGACACGTCAACATAATTGCACTCAACATTGTAGGTTCAAGAAGCTATCAACAAATGTAGCAACATGGGAGAAACAAATATAACCTAGCAATACAACAGGGATATTCAAAAGCTTACGTCCCAAAGATATCCAAATTTGTGGAATTGGAGAAACAAAGGCCATATACGACATGAGCCACCACTACAGCTACTGCAAATTAGCATCAATGTAGAAGTAGAATGCTGCAGAATTTGTGTAGTCAACATGAAGCAACTGCAAAGAGGGGCAACAAATAGGCATTGCATGCAACCTGCAAATGTCATTTCAATCATAATTTTTATTTTGAAACATCAATTGTCGTTCTATTGTTGGATAATTGTATTAGCATTGAAGAAAAATGTTCAAATGAACATAATTTCCAGTGTGGGCTTAATTCATAATGACTAGTAGGACTTGCAATTCAGAAACAGACCTATGGACAATTTCCGTCTGGCCAATTGGATGGAGAGGAGAAACAAACTGATTGAGAGCAGGGATCGTAACAACCACATAGGCCAACCGATGAGATTGAAGAGGCAAGATGGCTTTATTGGCGTTGAGGCTGTTTGATGCTTTGCATGTTGCTTTCTCATCTCCCTCAAATCCATCGACTCCAATAGCGTCTTCTCGTCTCAATAAACCTGCTAACCAATTTGCCTCTTTTCATCCCCGTAAAGTATGCCGACTTCCGTAAGATTCCCTTGTAAACTCTCAAGTATCCACCGCAAAATTTTCTCAACTAATTTGCTAATCCTTGGCAACGAATCTCAGTCTAGAGAAACACTGGCATGTCTTGCAGGCGGGGCTATTAATCTGCGGGGATTTAGATTTGGCTAACTAATCATGAAAGAGCAAGGTTGAAATCGACAGAATAAACTATCAAATCAGGGCAAATCGGCATACTGGGTATCGCAGGCGGATGATTCATTGCGTTGAAAGTGGTAGTTGCAGTTTTGATTTAGATGAAAAGTTTTGTAGATTTGGGAAGAATGAAACGTCACAGTGAATGGTGAGAGAAGAAAGCGGAATCTATTTTTCATTTTTTACAGAGGATGGAGGAGAGTAGGAGTCCATTTTTTGGTTGACGTGGATGGAATAAAAACTAATTAATCACCGAAACTTGCGGAGAAGCCACCGAGGCTTACGTGGAGGGGGTTGGTTTTACAAATCCCTTTAATATTTTGTAAGAAATAACCCAGAAAGAAACAACCCAAAAAGAAATAACAAATAGGCCCACATCATTACTAATCAAGCCCAAAGTTCAGCAATATAAAAAACCATAAGCAAGCCCAATCTACCTGAGGATTTACTTACAACACTTCCGTGAACAGTAATTAAGGGGTCGTTTGCTTGATTGATTTGAGTCATGGATTTGGGACTCAAATCCCAAGCATGATGGATTTTAGCCAAATCCATTGTTTGTTGTCAGGTGTCAAATCAGTGGGGTCCACGGATTTGTTCCCCTTTTTTGGATCCAAATCCGTGGACCCCACGGACTTATAAATCCCACATATTGGGGTGGGATTTGTAAATCCTTGATGGCTAGTTATATTTATAGCAAATCCATCATAATTATATCATCAAATCTATCATGCAAACAATAGACTCATATTGTTTGCAAGATATGAAAGATATGATTCATAAGCTCATATTCTCATAATTTATGTGGATATTGGGTGGTGGCAGAGCTAGAAATCTTAACGAGGGGATTAGAAATTTACGTTCAAAGGATTTGGACCAAGAGGAGGCTAAAGTCTTAGCACCTACTCTATTATTCAAATTTGTTACAAAATTTACATGTAAATTTACACAAGTTTGAGAGTTGAGAGGGGCTATAGCCCCTCTTAACAATACCGTGGTTCCACTGTCGACCTTGGGTTGAATCCAAATGGACTCATACGTATTTTTAGTGGTTTTGAGTTTGAATTGAGTTTGACTTAGATCCAACTTGGGTCAATTTATTTGCGTTAGAACCAAATAGCTCTATTTGGATCCAAATGGTTGGTATAAACAAAACAAAAACAAAAATATCAACCATCTCATCAATTGTATTTAATCCAACTACACCTTTATTGTAGGTGTTTCCCCCTTTCTGTTTGTGGTAATGTCGTGGTCAATAGGTTCAAATTATGGCCAAGTGTGTAAATATCAATCTTAGTTCCGTCTTCATAACTTTGGTTTGGCCATGTGTGATGGTGTGTGGTTGATATCACTCTAAAGGTTCATTTAGATGACATATTTGGTTAATAGATTTCGGCACAATCTCTCATTTTGTCAAATTTTAGAGCAATCATTTGTTTGGAAAGGAATCCAAAATCGGAGAATTTAGGCCTGCCAGATTTTGAAATCCTCAATGGCCAAATAAGGTGAGAATCAGGCCAGGTCGGAGCTGGCGCCTGGCGGCGCCACCAATGCCCATTCGGGAGCATCGCCATGTTCGCGTCGGAGGAGGACGAATCCACTAATGGGGGATTAAGAGAAACATATATGGGATCGGAAAAGATGTAGGAGATTAAGAGAGACTAAGATGGAGACTTTTCGTCTATTTTTTATGTAATTGATTATAATAAGAAGGTAACACATTTTCACCTGACATGTTTTTTATGAAAAGTTGTCACATCAGCAAAAACGTTAGCACAGTTAGCATTCATATTGACTCCGTTAAAGGTTTGGACGAAATTGGACATTTTGTATATTTCTTTAAAATTAGGTACTATTGTAACCAAGTGGATAGTTATATCTATCGAGAAATATTTTACCTTATTTTTTCATGAGTTAGTTCTTAGTGTTAATTGTTGAAAAGTGAAACAAAATACATGACATTTATTATATTTGTATCTTATTTTAGTATTTCCGCCCAATATAAGATAAATTTTTAAGATTTGACATCTCTCCATTTCAAAAAAGGTTGCAACAAGAGTGCTTGTAGAAGGGGCACATTAGTAGTTTCAATTAAAACTAAACCTAAAGATAAAAAATAAAGCAATCAATCTCCACTTGTCATGATCTCTCTCCTTCAATTTTAACTCTTCAACCATTTTAAATGATCCATATCTTTTTCATTTGAACTCGAATTTTAAGTCTTTTTGTTTGCACCAAAAAAGAATTTTAATTCTTTTTGTATAGAAAAATTGCATTGAACAAGATCTATAAAATGATCTCCACTTTTTAATATTTTTTATGAGAAATTTTCACGTCATCAATGTTGTACTCGTACGATAGTGATTTATTGTGTACCATAGTGGTACATCAACCAGTATCAATTGTGGTTCGATAATTTGGTTAATTGATTTGCTTCTTTAAAAATGTTTAGCAAGTTTGGTTTAGGTTGATTGATAAGATCATATACTCTACTAAATAGGCTAGCTAATCGAATTAATTTTCTTTATAAGAAAGGGGCTTAGATGTCTAGGCTTCCTCTTGGCGTGTGCATTAGTCGACAAACTACATGAATTGGTAAGTCAAACTCAAAATGATTCGGTGCACTAAAGTTAGTTAAATAAATATAATTATGTGAATTTCAGAATAACACGTCAATGTGATATTGAATGGATATGTTTAGAGGGGAAGAACAAATAATCAAGTTGCATACCCAACAGCTAATATGAAGTAACAATGATCCAGGTAAATTGTGTCGCAAGTGCTAATACATTAATTTTTTTTACAGGAGGTTAGTCTAATATTGTCGTTTGAAAAATGTGTTATTTAGAGCTTATTAACTCACTAATATTTATATGTTGATTGTTGTTCTAGAACTCGATATATGATAGTTTGTGACATTCTTTAATTTTTTGGTATAATACCAATATGACTATTGTTTATCCAAAGTATATATTCCTTTTTTTTCACCATAGATATTCCTAGAGGGGAAGAGCAAATACACAATATAACAATATAAACGACCTTTGCAGGTCAAATCACAAAAAGAAGAAAGTAAAAGTCCTTTGCATGTCTGATAATAATAGGTTTTTGTTGCCGCGATATGGGCAGTCGTATATTACCTTTTTCGGAAATAAGCATAATCCTTGACTTAACATCTACCCTTTGCAGGGAGAAAATCATGGATCGAGCTCATAGAAGTTGCTCCAGGCTGTCCTAGATGCAGACCATGCTGAAACTGGAGCAGAGAAGCAAATTCTTATCGTTCTGACGGTGATGGATGAAAGGGAGGGGAAGAGGAGGACAACCACATACCTAGTAGGAGTGACTTCCTTGGAAAAAACAAACACACAACTAGTCACGAAAAGGCTTGTCCAAGAAACAAACAAACCTCTAATAATATGCAACAAACATAAAACACCAAAAACGAGACCACAAATTGATCGTGCAAACAAAATGCTCCAGTTCTTCCACATAGTTTTATGTATACTTATTAGCTAGCAAAACATAAACAGACAACCCTATAGATTGCAAAGTTGACCCCGTAAATATTAATGAAGCACCTGATAAAAAATTCAGAATATAAAACAAGAGAAAAGAGCAAACGGAAGATGCCTAGAGTAAGAGGATAACAAAAGGTTGGACACATAGGTAAAGTCCACCACGCGGTCGAACAGAGCTGGGCTGCAGCCCAAAACGAAACAAAAACAATATATCTGGACAAGCTGGAAGTAAAACATGCCCAACCGAATTAGCCAAATGAAATAAAAGGCGTTAACTATAAAAATAAGAATAGAAAATGAATTACAGACTAACCAACTTACCTCTTATCTTCAGTGGATTAGGATAAGAGCAAAGCTGTTGCTGGCGGAAAAGACTCGCAGGCGTACACGTGTCGAAGACTTGTGAGCACGTCTTAGCAAAGCTTCTGCTGGAGGAAAGACTCGCAGGCGTCATCGTCGGCACAGAAGACGACAATCAATCGGAAGGAGACACACCAAGCTGAAGAACACGCCGACTACTGACAGCTCCATCGGGCCCAAACAGTCTAACTGAGCACAAATACATTTCCGGAGAACTGCAATATATATATGTCTCACGATGGCAATATCACCGATGAAGCAGATAATTGAAAGCCGTGGGAGAGAGGACGTAATCAGTGACCACTTCTTCATTGTCACTTTCCTCTGGTAGTGATTGGTGATAGCCTATTTCATTGGTTGGGTAATTAATTATCACCGAAGTAAAAAGGCTTTCCCTAATTCTCAATTTCTACAAATAATCCTCAATTGCCTCTATCCGCTGTGAATCCACCTTATCAGCCAGAGACCGCGACCTTGTTGATTTTGATGTTGGTGGTGATGTGGGAGGCAAAAAAGACCTCGGCTGGCAGCGAGCACCATGGGAGGCGAGGTTGCAGTTAGCACGACTTTGTTGATGATGGGAGTAGCGTCCTCGCCCGTTCAGAGTGTCGACGTGGGGCCTACACCCTGGACGGCGACAAGGAGCCTCTAGAGGGCAAGCGGTATGATAAGTGGGTGTTGACTGAAAAAGGCGGAGACTAGAGGAGAGAAGTAGGCCTATTGTGTGGATGGAAATAGTAACGGTGCGAGAGAGAGAGAGAGAGACGTCGCAATCTGGGGAAAGTCTAAGGAGACATGGTCTGCGGGATGGCCACGATAAGGAAGGAAGAACAGGGTTCATCCATGGGTTACTATGATTCTATTATATTATTCTTACATCATCGACTCTCTTTCTTTCATTCCAAAATACCGATGGAGAAACCAAACTCCAATGGTGGCACCCTTTTCCATCATTTCCTTATAATCTTTCTCCTCTGCTTCATACCATCCTCCTCCACGGCTGATTCTGCCCCAGCCCAGACCCAAATCTTCGTCAACTGCTGGTCAACGCCGATGATGGCAGAGTCTTCGACGCCAACCAACCTCCCTGAAATTTCAAGCTCGAAGGCGGAAGCAAAATTCTATCATATGGGACGAATACTCCGGCTTCTTCTCTGTACAAAACAACAAGAATCTTCACGAGACGGAGCGGGTACGATTTTTGGGGCTCTGGTTTGTGAATAGAATGGTTTGCAAATATGGAAGGTTTTCTTGGGGAAGGATTGGAGGGAAAAAAAAGAGTAAAACAGGCACATTTATTGGATGGTGGCCCACATGTGACTCAATCTCCAATAGCTTATGTGGTAGCCTGCGTGGCATAGAAATTTATGTCTCGACACCAAGTTAGTTCGGTGGATGGAAATGGTAACGGTGCAACAAAAAGTTAACGTAAATGGTTTAGTTGCAATAAAAAGTACTTAGGTGGTTAACGTGCAACAAATGGGATAGGATACGGTCACAATCCATTTTGTAGCCATCAGATTCGTTCTCTCTCCTATCTTTTTTTTAAATCAATGGTTAAAATTAAAAGAAGGGTATTTTTGGAATGGAAAAAACTTACCACACTCAATCATTGACCCCCATATAAATGAAAAAAACCCTAATTCCTCCCTATCCCACGTAGACTGCTCCCCCCCCCCCCTCCCACACCCCCACTGTAGTCTGTTGCACACATGTCGTGCTCTCTACCGTCGCCACAACAATGTCCCGCTTCTCTTCACCGCTGTCGCACCATCCCACGATC